GAAGGCCCATTGTATGTTCTAGAAGATTCTCCTTATGACGGTCTATATTATACTTAGTGGGCTTTTGGGCTTTAGGGTTTAAAGCCCAATGGGGATTTGTCTCCCCTTGTCATCTATAAATATGTATTGAAACCTCATTCATTAATCAATAAGAACAACAAGTTCTATAACAAGAAGCGGCTTCTTTTTATTTTCTAGCTATCGTCCAAGGGTGTTGTTTGTGCTATGTGTACACACTGCTTTTTAGTCTTCGTACGTACACGAAATTTTTCCACCGTTGATCTTTGAAGGCATTTTGTACAGTTAAAATCGGACGGTCATGAATCGGGATGCATGTCTGTCACATGGTAAGACGTGTCGTGGCATACACACCAATTTTTTTTTTTTTTGTTAATTAATACACACCAAATTACTAAATTCGTATCTCCGAAAATTGATTTCGATTTATTCGAATATATGATAATGAGATATGGAAAATTAAATCAAGAGTAATATCTTTAGATTGAATTAGTTGATATTTTTTGGAATTGATAAAATTTAAGTATTTCCGTATATTTAGCTTACGAAAATATACCCTTCAGTTCCATCTTCTTTCTCATATTAGTTTTGTTTTATTTCCGATTAAACATGAGCTCAGGATGGTGACAAAAAAAAAAAAAAAAAAAAAAAAAAAGCTCAGGATGATAGCCAGTACTTATCTCACCAATTTTTGTTTGCTTAATCAAATATTAGTGTTGGACCTTAGAAAAAAACAGTTTATATTCCTCAAATGGTATCGAATGTGGAATTCTAAATTGAAGACAACAAATTCTTTTGACCTTAATGGCTTTATTTTTCCCCACAACCAAGGTCCTAAACAAAAGAAAGATTCAATCAAGATTTGTAAATTGCAAAATTATGTTCCTTTAAGATAGTCATATTTAAACAATTTTGGCAAAAAAAAAAAAAAAAAAAAAAAAGAGTGATATATGAGTCGTGGAATTAGCGAGTGGACAAAGTGTAAACATTGTGATTGAAGAGAAAGATAGTGTCATAGTGAGTGAAAAAGCAGTTTTTTCTCATAGTCTAACAAAAAAGAAGATTCAAGCCACTTGTCAACAAAAACAGAAAAGATTTCAAGCCACATTTTTTTTGTTTTTGGATCTTGTTTTCAAACTACCCATAGACGAGCCAAAACACCGAGCCGGTGGCAAACGTGAACATCTATTGACGCTTGAAGTACCTGATCACGGTCTAGAATGTACACGCTCCAATCACTCATGCTTATCGCCGGATCTAGCCTCACTCCTGGATAACCCAAACATTCTTCAACAATCTCTTCAAACGAACAACCCCTCATGCTCTTTCCTCGTGAATCATTCGCGTACTGCCTTATGTCTAGAAGTTTCCCGATCTGCAACTGATGTTTAGATATCGCCAGCTTTCTTGCGTCTTGACTATTCCAAACGCCGACGAACGTGGTCCTGGATCCGTCAAGAAAGTGCGGAGACTATTAGGGACTTGGTCACAGTGGCCTAACTGGATGATGATACATTTGTTACCCACGCATAACTGGAGAGTATCCGCAGGAGGATCTGAGTTGGATTCACCACGCTGAGTATCGGAGATGTAATCACCAGGATAAGGATTGGCGCAGTAACTAGGACGTGAAGGATTGCCGGTGTAGTTGTACTGTGGAGGATCGGCGTAGTGATCTCTCGGCGGAGAATGCTCGTAGTAACCACACGTTTGATGATCGTAGTACCTATTCGGCGGAAGATCATTGGCGTCGTAACTATGCGGTGGCTCATTGGAGTAGTGCCTATTCGGTGGAGGATTGGCGTCGTAACTACGCGATGGTTGATCGGAGTAGTACCTACTCGGTGGAGGATTGGCGTTGTAACTACGCGATGGTTGATCGAAGTTAGTACCTATTCGGTGGAGGATTGGCGTCGTAACCACGCAGTGGCTGATCGGAGTAGTACCTATTCGATGGAGGATTAGCGTCGTAACTTAGTGGCGGTGTCCACTGGACGCCGACTCCAACGACGAGAGGTTGTGGATAGTACGGACCACAGTTGTTGTAGAGGACCTCACGGATCCATTGGCTGATGATGGCGAAATCCGAGGTTACGGTGACGGATAACGCGTTTCCAAAGACATCGATAGAGTACTCTTGGTGGGTAGAGTAGTTACCGCCGGTTCTTATCGTCTGATCCATCGAAACTCTCTTCTTGCTTGCTTTCTGGATTTAGAGGACTCGGTGAGAGAGATAAAGAGATAGAGAGAAAATCGATATCTTCTTCTTGTGAATTAGGTTTTATCGTACGAGGGGTTTCATTAATTTTACGAAGCTCTTTATTTTCTAGGGTTGAGAATTAAGGTAGTTTGTTAAAAAAAATTACGAATATATGGAAAAATAAATTAAAGGTAAACTTCTGATAAATCCGTCTTTTTTTTTTCTTTTTTTTTTTGCCACTTCTAACAGCTCCCCTAGATATTTTTAAAAAATACTCCCTCTGTATTTGAAAAAATGTCGTTTCAACTGTTTTTGGGTGAATTAAGAAAGGGCACAGAATTACAAAACTAACCTTATGAGAAACGATTATTTACAATTATATTTTTGGTATATGTAGTTTTGGTAATTTAGACTGATTAATTATGATCAATTAATTGGGGGTAATTTAGAAAATTTTATGCAAAAGTTGTTAAAATGACAACTAATTAAAAACACAGAAAAAAGGCTAGAACGACATTTATTCAAATACGGAGGGAGTACTTATCTAGCTCACCAATTTTGTAATCGAAGAAATTTGGGTTTTCCTAATTAATCATGGAAGAAATAAACTGACCGCTAAACAAACCAAAAAAAAAGTAGGAAAATTTTTTACTAGAGAAACAGTTTTTTGATCACTCAACTAACAAAAAAAAAAAAAAGATTCAAGATTTGTCTTAAAAAAAAAAACTCAAGATTTGCAACAATAGATTCCATTGAAACGTTTACTCAAAATTCCCAAAGACACGTTGAAGACCAAGATTGGAACAAACATAAACATCTATTGACGCCTGAAGAATCTGATCGTAGCTAAGGTTGTCAGTTTTCGAAAGTTGAATTAAGGAGAATAATTTCAGTATGTTTTGTTCAGATTAAGTTAGTTAATGCATGTTAAAGCTGATTAATATCATCAGTATCATCCTAAATCAAGCTTAGTATTGAAAAACTCAACTCAGCCATATACTCAATCTGGTTCGTGGTATTCACAAATCGGAAAACATTCATATGGGTGTATATGTTGTTGTTCATAATATATATCCAATCCATCGTAGAAGTAGTATACTTTTACTATCGAGTCCAAAAGATTGGTGCTTTTGTTGATTATTCAGTTAGTGGAATAACTTGCTTTGTTCATAAATTATTCCCAGTAACAAAAAATTTGATCTTTGTCTATGTTTTTATGAAGTCATGGAAAAAGACAATTCAAATGTAACACAGCCTATGCATCGAGTCATTGACCATGACGTATTTGATATGCTTTGTTTTGGTACGTCGTGCTTTTTTGTCCCATATCAAATTGAACAAAATTGATAATGTAATTCATCAAAACATAGTATAGGTCTAGATTTACAAACTGGATAATCAAATAGTCACAAAATGCCGTAACATTTTCTGAAGTTTTTTAATTAGAAGACGTTCATTAATAAAGAGAGTAAAGAACAACAACTTATCCAAATCGCAAGATTAGCAACATTACATTCCGTTATCTCTGATATTAGAAACATGTTGTTTTCTCAAACTTTCCATAGACGATACTTAACACCAAGCTTGAAGCAAACATGAACATCTATGGACGCTTGAAGAATCTGATCGTCACAAAGGTCGTACGCACTCCAATCGCTCATTCTTATCTCTCGATCTAGCCACATTCCTCGATAACCCAAACATTCCTCAACAATCACCTCAAACGAATTAAACTAACCGGTGGAGAAGCAGGGTGATAACCAGAGGGTGTCCACTGAACGCCGACTCCAACAACGAGAGGGTGAGATGATAAGCGGCTGTGGAATAGGACGTCGTGAATCCATTGGCCGATGACGGAAGGATCCGGCGTTACGGTGACGATAAACTCTTCTCCAAAGAAATCGACTTGAGTACTTTTTCTGAGTAGCGTAGATTCCGATGGTTCTGATTCTCGGAGCCATTGGTTTTGCATTCACTTTTTGAACGAGAGCAGATAATGAAACTGCTTTCTTCTACTTTTGCTATCGTCGGAGGCTACTTTAAATTGTAGTACTGGTGCTCTTTATCACCATTGATCTTTGTGAAAATAAATGTGGTTAAATTTGGACGGTTGAGATGCATGTAGGCAAGGGTTAGTCTTCTGCATCGTTGGGTCAAGTGTGACGTCATTTATCTACCCCAAACCTTGCTGATTTTAATAATTACTGATTTGAATTCAAAAAGATTTTATAAAGATCTCGGATTTGAATTAAGGAGAATATTTTCAGTATTCATATTTTATCAGATTAAGTTGGTTAATGTTATATAGTTGGTATAAATTAGTATTATCCTAAATCAAGATTAGGATTGAAAAACTCAACGCAGTCATATCCTTGATCATGGTTATATCCAGTTTAAAAATAGGAAATCAATTAAATGGGTGTAGGTTTTTCTTTCAGATATGTTCAATCGAGTTCAAAATATTGGTACTTTTGTTGATTATACGGTTCCATCTAGTGGACTAACTTGCTTTGATCAAAGATTAATTTCAATAAACACATCAAATTGATATTCGCCTATAAGAGTGGATGGAAGTAACAAAAGAAAAAGACGATTCAAATGTAACCCCACACTACACATTGACCATGACGTATTTGATATGCTTTTTCGTACGCCGTGTTTTTTTTTTTTGTCCCATATCAAATTAAACACAATTGATAATTTAATTCATCGAAACGTACTAACGTAGTATAAGTCTAGTGACGGCAAAAATATAAACGTAGTAACGCATTTCTAGTCAACATTCAATATAACACGAAAACTTTTATGAATTAGAAGACGTTGATTGTCTTGATAAAGAGTGAAGAACAACAACTTGTTCAAATCACAAGATTAGCAACACCATTACATTCCTTTGATACTTTTAAGTTCCCAGAGACGTTCCTCAACAGCGAGCTTAAAGCAAACACATGACTCAATCGACGCCTGAAGTACCTGATCATGGCTGAGCATGTAAACGCCCCAATCGCTCATACAAATCGCCGGATCTAACCTCACACCTTCGCGTCCCAAACGCTCTTTCACGATCTGTTCAAACGAACAAAAACGCATCGCAATCCTTCTCGAATCTATCACGTACAGCCTTATGTCTAGAAGCTTCCCGATCTCCAATTGATGCCTACATGTAGCGAGTTTTCTCTGGTCTTGGCCGTTCCAGACGCCGACAAAAGTGGTATTGGGGTCGGAGAGGAAAGTTCGGAGTACGTTGGGGAGACAGTAACAGTCACCTAACTGGATGATGAGACAGCGACTACCAACGCATAACTGGAGAGTTTTTGGCGAAGGATCTGGATCGGAACGAACGCCGATCCCGACGACGAGAGGATGCACTGAGTGATTACGGTTGTAGGAGCGGACACTGCGAATCCAGCGGCGGATTACGGTAGCAGTCGGCGTAACGGTGACGATCAAGTCGTCTCCGAAGAAATTGATCAAGTGTTTTTGGTGAGTACGGAAACTTCCGATTGTTTTGATCGTCAGAGCCATTGATCTGTCTTCTTCTTTTCTCTGGTTTTAGAGTGAGTGTGAGTGATAGATAGAGAAGTGGTTTCTTTTTCTTGTTATAGAGTACCTTTTTGTTTCTTGTTATAATCACCATCGATCTTTGTAGGCTAGTGTCTTATTAAAATCGGACGGTTGAGAATTGAGATGCATGTACTGTCACATCGTCAGGCCTATTATAAAATGTATACGCAAAACTTTTACTGAGTAATTACTGTATTTTACGGCTCTGAATTTTGATTTTGATTTTATCCACAAAGATTTGATGAAGACATGAAGTATAATACTTTTTACGTATTTCTTTTTATTAAATTAGTTTATTTTCAGTTATTTGGGGGCTTAATCAGGTAGATAACAATAACTCATTTTTGTGTTTTTTTGCACCAAATAATCATAATTATTGTTGTAGTTTTTTTTTTTTTGTCTGTAGTTTAGCTTTCAACATATGAATTTTAGCGCGATACCAGCATAACTAATTTAAATTGTAGAACAACAACTTACGCAATAACTCTTGATTTTTTTTCTTGCTATATATTGGTTTGACAAAATTTTGTAACTTCGTAATTATACCTTCTGATAAAAAAAAAAAAAAGAAGTGGTAAATATTCATTCCACAAAATTTTGTTTGTATATCGCCACTTCGGTTTATCATACTTTAATTAAATTATGATAAAAGTCACCCAAAAAAAAAACTTGGTCTGGCATGTTACCACTTACAAGAATGCATTATCCTCAAGAAAAATCAAATAAATAAAAATATGGAAGGTGGATGAAGATCTAAGAATTAAACCTGTCAAGAGAAGACGTATACAATCCACTAATACCAAGCCACGTGTAAGGTTAGATCTTTTCAAAGAATCCGATTAGTCAGTCTTACAAGTATTTTGTGATCCGCCGTATATTTATAACTAACATTACTTTAATTAATAACCTTGTCGTCGACCCATTTTTTTTTTTCTTTTGACCCAAAGCTTTGTTTTATATATTTAATTTTATTTTTCGATCGCACGGAGATTGTAACAAGGAAACCGCCGTCGCCGGATCTGGTAGTGAGCGTATCCATGAAGTAGACGACGAAGAAATTACTTTCTCATCTTAAAACGTAGTTTATGTACAGAAGATTCGCCCTCAATTTTTGATCTGAAGGGTCGGGTTTACTTTTTTTTTTTTTTTTGGGTGGTTTTGCGTTTTCTCATTTGACGGTTTCTGGATTGGGGATTTCAAAACCATGAGGAAGAAGCTCGATACTCGGTTCCCAGCTGTAAGTTTGTCGTCTCGAATTGATTATTTCTGGAATTGAAGTTTAATTTCTCGGAAAATTACTTGATCTGTTATTTTTCAGATCGAATTTCCAAACACTAATCGGGATTAAATTTGTGTTCTACAACGAAATTAGATTAAGTATCTCATTTCTGGCGAATTGGTGACAGCAAATGACCTAGCAGTCAATTTCACCCTAATTTTTGTTGTGCTTTTTATACAGCTATAGTAATATGTGTTGTCAGATCCGCTATAGTATGTTTCGTGTAAATTAGGGAATTCGAGAATTTAGGTGACTAGTGCTCGAAACGTGTTGTTTACCAACAAAACATTCATCTATTGGTGAATTCCATAGGTTAGATAGTGTTGATTGATGGTTTAATTTAATTGAGCTTGAGGCTAGAATATACTTATAGTTATTCACAGATTTTGACTTGCCATTTGTTTGTTTATATATAATGTGATTGATGATTGCACAGAGCGCGCTTAGTGTTTCTCACTTTTGCCATTTGCTAGGCTGGGTTTATTGCCACTTACATTATGTATGCTATGATGGTGGCTGTTTCTTGATTTGATGTATATATATATATATACAATTTTCAGGCTCGAATTAAAAAGATTATGCAAGCTGATGAGGATGTTGGCAAGATAGCTTTGGCAGTGCCTGTCTTAGTCTGTGAGTCATCTTGCTACCGTTGACTTCACTCTGAAAGCAATTGTTGGTTGTTATACCCTTTTGGCTAAATTTCATGTTCTATTATTACAGCAAAATCTTTGGAATTGTTCTTGCAAGACCTTTGCGATCGTACATATGAGATTACCCTTGAAAGAGGAGCCAAGACCGTGAGCTCATTGCACCTGTAAGCAACTGCTTACTTAACCTTATTTTTTTCTTCCGTCTGCATGCTAATATCGTCATTGCCCAAAGACTAAGAGCATGAAAGGGTTTACTTGAATGCATTTTAAAATTCTAGAGCTCTCAGATGGTGTAACTATGATATTGTGGTTTAAGAGTTACCATGATGTTGTTAAGCGGAAGAGCTTCCAACTCATTGGCCCTCCCTAATTTGACTGCATTCAACACTGAGAGGATGTTGTTTGATGTTACAGAACTTTATACCACAAATTTGGTATAAAGTTCATTTTTTGCTCTTTTTCTTTGTATGATGTTTGTGATACTACAACTGCATCCACGTTTATCAAAGTATTTTTGTTGTTTACAGAAAACATTGTGTGGAAAGATATAACGTGTTTGATTTTCTGAGGGAAGTTGTGAGCAAGGTGCCTGACTATGGCCATTCGCAAGGGCAGGGCCATGGTGATGTCACCATGGATGATCGCACCATCTCCAAGAGAAGGTTGGATCTCTATATCTCTTGGTTCCATATGTCCGATTTGTTTATTGATAGTCCATGTCAAGCTGATGTGAGATGGTTTATCAAATCAGGAAGCCCATCAACGATGAAGTGAATGACAGCGACGAGGAATATAAGAAAAGCAAAACGGTGAGCTCATGTTCTTCTTGGAATATTATGCTTAATCATTCATTTTGTGTCTATTCCCAGCTCCTTAGATCCATTGAATATATTGTTTATGGTCCTAATCACTGCAGCAAGAGATGGGGAATGCTAAGCCCAGTGGCAGGGGTGGTAGAGGAAGAGGGCGAGGAAGAGGTCGTGGTGGACGAGCTGCAAGAGCAGCCGAAAGAGAGGGTCTCAACCGCGAGATGGAACTAGAAGCTGCTGTATCGGGACAGCCACCTCCAGAAGACAATATCAAGATGCATGTGTCAGAGTCATCACCACAAGAGAATGAGAAGAAAGACATCGATGGCACAGTAGCATCAAACGAAGACAACAAGCAACACCTTCAAAGTCCAAAAGAAGGCATTGACTTTGATCTCAACGCTGAATCCCTCGACCTAAACGAGACCAAACTGGCACCAGCCACTGGCGCAACCACAACCGCAGCAACAACGGACTCAGAGGAATATTCGGCCTGGCCTATGATGGACATTGGCAAAATGGATCCAGCACAGCTTGCCAGTCTGGGTAAGAGGATAGACGAGGATGAGGAAGATTATGACGAAGAAGGCTAAGGCATAGCAGCACCATAGGATATATAGAGTAGCAGCGTTTAGCGGTTTATCTAGAAAATGCTTCTTCTGTCTTCAAAATCTTCTTCTTGTTTCCATTTATTGTACGGACCAAAGATTGTATGCGCTTTATAAAACTTAATTTTATTCTCCTGATATGTTATTTAAGGGTTTATGGTTTACATCAGAAGTTAAAACATCTTACAAAGTTGAGTAAACACTTAAAAGTACATAAACAGGGGAGAGGGACTAGTCATGGTGTTGCTCCATGCGGTTGAAGTGAAGAGCACCTTCATGGTTCTTGTGAACTTCCACCTTGAACTTTTCCTCTTTTTCTCCCCTCTTCAACTTCAGCAGCATGTTGTATTTGGCAGCCTCGCCGGTTACCTGCGCCCATGTTTTTAATATTAAGCTCATTAATCTCGCAATTACTAACAACACAAGTCAGGCTTTTAGTCTTATACTTATACCAAGGACAACCAATATGTTGCTTAAAGCCTTTTCTACTTGTAAAACTTCAACACCAACCTTGGATTTCGTTTATTTTTTTATTTTTTTTTTGACAGCAATTGATTTCGTTTATTTGCAATTTCTCAGATGAAACTTTTGCAAAAACATTGTCAAAAAATGGAAAGTTGTCTATTGAAATCAATGAGTAATACTAGAGAAATTAAGGTCGAAGGATGAGTATATATAGTAAAGTAAAGCCATACCTCAGCGTTAGCATGCACAACCTCCAGAAGTTCATAAGGGAACAAGGAGTTAGACCTCTGCTGGAGAGTCTTGACAGCATGTTCAGCAACGTGCTGCACTTCTGGATCATCTCCTGGAACTTCCCTCCATCCAGATTCATGTTCATCTGATCCACAAAACCCAATTTTCATGACCAAACTCCACAATCACTGACTTCCTATATATATATCAACTGACATTATGTTTTTTTTTATCGGTAACTACTCAAATCCTCATACCTTGTTTGCAGCCAAGATCGGAGGGAGTGATTGCAGGGGCATCACTGGCGGCAGGCTTGAACTCCTGTAACTCCTTAAAGTTCAACCATGACTTCACCCACACTTTGGCTTCGTAAAGCTTTTTCTCCCCTGCATCGAGAATCTCCAGAGTCAGGTGATGCATTGTTCCGGCTACAACTTGTTCTTTAGCTTTCACCACTCTCGCAAACTCAAGAAGTGCATTCTACGAGGGGTGAAAAACAGAAGACAACCAAAAATCAATCAATCAACCACACAACATAAACACATCCATCACCCAATGATATACACTCTCTAAGAATCTACTGGTAACTGAAATTGATATCAAGAGTAAAACTCGGACAAAATCAGTCTAATCGCGTTCTGGATCAAGACTATAACAGCATAAAACACACATATCGAGAGGAGAGATGTAAGAAATCGAGATTTGGAACCTCTTTCTTGTTGTGCTCATCAACAGCGAAACGAGCGAGGCTCTCGACCTCACCACTGTTCTGATTAGCAGGAACATCGCGAACGCCTCCGAGTAAAGCCATGTCTTCGTTGCAGAACCCTAAATCACTGGCGATCAGAGAGGAATTGAAGAGGGACAGAGAGAAGAAAACGATGAAGAGTAGTAAGAAACGGCTTTTCGTCATTCACACCTTTATTTGGTTCGGTGCTGTATGTATTTTTAGATATTTTTCGTTTTTCGTCGTCGACATATCAAATTCGTGATATTTTGGAATTTATCCTCTACAGTTAATTCGCCGTGTACCGGATTAAGGTGTCCATTTGGTTTGATGTTGGTAAGAAAAAGAGTATCGATTCGAGTTTTAGATTGGTTTGATTCGGCCTCAATCGGTTTAAGTCACCCAAATTTAAAAGAGAAACTCATACCAATCTCGAAAATGATGCTGGAGATAGCGGCACGTTCTACGAAACGTGTCGGCAGAGTCGCACAGAAATTGTCAAACACCTTTTACTTGGAAACAAAGTATAAATATTTATTTATGCACCTTTCTTTGTCTTTGTGAATTGTGACTATATGATCTATATCTCATCACCTACTAAAGCCCAATTAAAGGCCCATAGGAAATAAAATCGCAACATAAACAATGAAGCTTCATGAGTTTTATTAGTCTGATATTATTGTTTTGATAATACAAAGCTGCATAATAATAATACTCGTTATTAGATAGCGGCGTTGAGGAGGCCGTTACCAAAGGGTCTTTGGTTGTAACAATCAAGATTACCACCAGGATTAACCCCAAATATGGTACAATACCTCTGATAAAACCCTATACGATCCGCGACTCTCCCGTCTTGGCCACGTCCACATTCCAATCCACCGTTAATGATGTTCGTAATCACTCCATAACCGGGTAATCTCCCGGCTGCACGGTCGGCGTCTGACGGCTGCCATTGGCCGGCTATCACCGCGTGGCACGATGGTTTCGGAGGCTGAGCAGTCATCCAGAACCAAATCGCGGCTTTGAAAGCGATCACTGCGTCGTTGGCTACGAGGTCGGGGTTGTTGAGTAAGTCAACTCCTATGGCTCTACCACATAGACCGTAATTGTAGTTCCACGACAGCTGCATCGGTCCTCTTCCGTAGTACCGTTTGCCAGATGCGCATGGCCACGTGGCGCTTGGTTCACAGTAGTCTGAACCAGGATTCTGTTCTTGCTTGAAACAGTAGCCCCATGAAAATGGTCCGTCTGGTGCTGAAGCCCACCCACCTGCACGATGTAACCGTCCATTTATTAGTATTATTAATATAACTATCGTCGTCACAAATTTTTTAAAAAAATAACTATCGTCAGAAATTTGACATTATTTACGTGTATAATTTGGAAACTGGAATATTCGTAAGTTCCTTGATTGTTTTTTTTTTTAACAGCAATTTGATGTTCCTTGATTGTTTATTTGCGTTTATGTACATTTTTTTTTTGTTAAAAACGTTTATGTACAGTTTGTATATCTTTTCTAGATGAATCAATAATTTCATATTTTAAAATAATTTTTTTAATTGTAAACGCAAACATCTAACACCAAAAACATTTTTATTTGCATTTGGCGTTTTTGTTTGATCTTTTTGTTTCAAATATGAGAAGCTATATTTAAAATTAAAAAAAAACATTGGTATAGTAAAAGAAAACAAAAAAAAAAACATTGGTATAGTAGTTCTTTGTATGACCACTTGGATCGAAAACTCTTTAGAAAATAAACTTCAAATTCTGATGTTTTAATAAGAAACACCAAAATTTAGCAATTGTGTTTCAAAACAATCTACGTCTAATTGTTAATGAGTTATGAGTACCTGTGGTTTCATGGGAAGTCTGGCCGAAGAAGGCGGCGACCTCCTTCTTTCTCGTGGCGGTGTCTCCGGTGGTGCCAAAACCGGGGAAGGACTTTGCAGCGGTGATGAAGGCGTTGTAAGTGTAGAAACCTCTAGCAGGACAAGCAGCATCATTCCTATGCTTAAGCATATCATCGAACTGAGAACTTGAAATGATGCCCGAAAGATCGCCGGTGGGTCCAGGAGTACCGCCGGGAGTGCACTGGCTTTGGCAGCCAGGCTGCTTACAGTAGGGTTCGGTGTCACCGCACCATCCGAACTCGCTGCAGCATAGACCGTTGGGGCAGAGTGCTCCTCCAGCTTGGCGACCACATTGCTCGGCTGAGGAAAATGATAAGAGAAGTGAGATGATGAGAAAGAGAAAAAGATTAGTCTTCATTTTGTTCAATGTTTTATGGTATTCTTTTTTTGAAGGCATGAAGGATATATATAGTAGTATCCAATATTCAATTAATGAATGTTAAATCATATCAAATTCTATCTTTTTCCATAGTTTATAGTTTATTATGTCTGTGGAGTGTGGCTATGGTCAAGAAACAGTATTTGGTAGGTTTGTTTCTATATTTATTTTCCTTTTCCGTCAATTTTTCTAGGTTAGATGTTTGATTTGTTTTTGGGAAATATCTATGTTTATAACTACAAGTAATGATAACTTTCTATGCATAAAACTGCATGTGCTAAATGTTGGTAGAGGAGTACTCAAAACAAAATAAAACTACAAGTAATAATATCTATGCTTTTAGAAGACCAAAAGCATAACAAAGTACACTCCTTATAAGTTTTTGTTCTTAAAATAAGAAGAGTACTCAAAATAAAAAAATTTTAAAAAAACACTTTTGTAAATAAGTACACATCTTAAGTTACTATCGACATAATTAATCACACATACACACATAATGGACATAAGTGTCTTAACCGATGATCTGAGTGAGCACTAAATTAATCACACACACACACATATTCCCTACGATGTTATACACAATGCTTGACTATATCTAAGACAGTTCACAAATCACAAGAGTTGCAAGAATAGTCAAGAATATGTATAACGTGGAGACAATGAAATAGACGTGTCTAAATATATAACTATGAATGTTGACAAAAACAAAATTAACTTTAATTATAAATACGAGGCGGCGTGTTCATGATCAACTTTTTCAAAAGGAAATCGAGACTTCTATAAGGTAACGTATAGCGTTAGCCAGTTAATGTTATAATGGCTTAAGACCAAATCATACAAATATTTAAAAGAAAATTTCCAATTGACTCTCTATATCTTTCTATTCTAAAATGTTTTATCCAAAGTTTACGTGTCAAGATTACAATATTATGAAAAATCCAAAATCTCTGCGTGCTCTTCTTACTGTACAAGTGTACATAATAATCTAATCTCTCTCTCTCTCTATCTCTATGTAATACATACACGTTAATTACCGTTGACTGAGTCTCTAATCTCCATCACTGTGGGCTGCGTTGCAGTCTCTTTCAGGTAAAATAATAGGGCATGTAATATGAATATATAGGCACTAGCTAATTTGACTTTTTAATTCCTAGAAACAATGAAGAACCAAATCTAGGCAGTTGCATCTGATCGATCACATGGGCTCATTAAGTAATATCATTCCACAAGATGACACACAAATACAGCTTGAATCCCTAATTAACATTTAACTGATATATTTGTTACATAACTGTAACAAAAATATCACTAGGTGATTTTCCTTGTGATTTGTTGGTCGTTTTAGAAACCTTTGTTATCCAACCAAACAATTACACTGATCTTATCTTAATCTATATTTAAACTAATTTGTAAAGGAAAATGGAATTGGGTTCATACTTTAATATTAATTGAATTGGGTTCCTCACAGACCTAATCTCCACCGTACACGTGGATGAATGAAGGGGCATCGTGCTTTTTTCCGCTTGAAGTCGGTTAGTGGCTTCTTTATGAAGCCTTAAAAAAAAAAAAAAGAGAGTGTGAAATCGAAAATTCGAAACGGTACAATGGGAGATTCCAAGAGGCAGAAGACGGAGACGAAGATGGAGATGGAGAAAGTTGAGAAGATAGAGAAGGAAGAATCAAGACCAGTCGATTTCGCAGAACTACGTGACGATCTCTTCCGCGAAGCAGCAAAACTTGTCTCCGAAGTTCGATCCCTCCACCAAAATCGCCATCTTCGTTACTCCTCCTCCTTCTTCCTCCGAATCGGACGTCTCTATGTATTCCTTCGGCTTTCCCTCTGTCAGTGGCGTAGTTAACACTTTCCTCCAGGATAATTGTCCTGAGGAGGAGGAAGAAGAAGACGAGGATGATGAAGATGATGCGGAGGTTGAGGATGATGCAGCGCAGCGCCCCAAAGGTTTTGGTGGGAAGATGGTAAGCAATTCGAATCGATGAATCCGGAACAATTGGACGCTGCGTATCAGAGGTTGGCGAGGCTGAGGGACCGTATGATTCTTGAACTTGAATTGAGAGCTCAAGGTTCTGGAAATCACAAGGATCTTCACAACGACAAAGCTGCTGATCCCAAACCCTAAGGCTCGTGCATTTTCATGTTCCATCACTTACTTACATCGATTTGAGTTCTATTTCTACGTTATTATAGCGATTTTATTAAGAGTTTCGAGTCCAGGATAGGTTGATTTGATCATCTTGTGGCTTGCTTATCCCTTGGTAGCTAAACTGTGATTCTACTTTTAACAGCAATGAAAATCTTTATTACTTCCAATATCTATTGCGGTTCTCTATACATACGTAAGACATTGATTCTTAAGGATGTAACAGAGAAATGAGAATCACATTGTTCTCCACCAAAGCGAATGCTTTATTTGATACATATATTATTACAAAAAGAATCGGAGTGTTTAATTTCTTTATTTCTCCCTGGACAACAATGGTTCTTTTAAAACTATGTCGGGTTCAACTTCAGCGTGTGATGGTGAGTTTTTTGCGCCATTTCTTCTCCATAAGCTTGATTTGCTACTTTCTTCAACATTTGTGGGTGTATTGACGTAATGAACACAAACTTGGACTGCATCATGTACTCTCACGAAGAACCATTCTTTGCCAATAAGTTCCACAATGCCTGCTCTTGCTAGAGTTAAGAGAACCTCTTTGTTTGGGTTCGAGATCGCTAGCTGCTCCATCGAAAACCAACTAATCATCAAGGTGTTGACAACTTAGAAACAAGTACTAAATTAAGGATGACGATATCAGGTTTGCACCTGAATCCCCCTTGTTTTATACTCCTCGTACAAATCTTTTAAGGCTTCTACTGCGCTTGAGTCAATGTATGTGACAGCTGTGTTACATCCAACCAATTCTCGATTAGATTTAGCACCTCTGTAAGTTTCGAACTGTGAATAGAAGAAACATTGGACTTACGAGACATTTCCAGGATAACAAAGTAGATCCTCTCCATATCTGGTCCCTTGCTTGAGTGTTTGTCGATAGCTACTTCATATTCTCGTAGCCTGCAATTTGGAAACATGGTGTTGTTGTATTGATTCTTTCTGCGGATCATAACAGAAGGCAAGTCATGAACCAAATGTCAATTTCACCTGTCCTTGATGTAGCTTATGTTGGCAAAATAAATGGGAGCATCGATTCGAACAATCACAATTCCACTGTAAGTGTATGCCTCTGGATACTGCTTCATGTTTCTGTACACAGTGGTTCCTGGAAGACGCCCCAAGACAGCTGCCAAAACATATGTAATGGAATGTGATCAAGAATATGAGTGAAAACTATTTCTGAGAAACAAAACAAGCAAATTGAACAGAAACTCATCTCACCTATATGAGGATTTGCAGACTCGTGTATTACAAATGCAAGTGAAAAACCAACCTGATAAATTCCAAGCAACTCGGTCCTTAGAAAGCGTTGCACAATTCACATATGTTATCCTACTTTTCAACATCATCACTCCTTTTAATTTCAAAGAGATATGATCGACTACAGAAATAGAGCTGCGTGAGTATGAACATACTCACACCAATGAGGACCCCAATCTCTATTCCAAAGAACAAAGTGGTAGTGCTAGTGATGGTCCAAAGAGTAAAATCTCTCTTGTCCACACGCCACAGAAAGATTGCCCCTTCATAGTCCACCTAACATGGTAAACATCCAGAAAGGGTAAGATCAATAACCAAAGGCAGTAAGTACACATCCCGGATTCTTTTCTGGTGGGTTGATTTGAACTTACCAAGCCACTAACAGCAGAGATCACTATTGCTGCTAAAGCACACTGCGAATTTGAGAAACAAGCTGGAGTTAGGAGCCAGATTTCAGTTTCAAAATTCTCCAGAGTTTCAGATTTATAAGGAATTAATATGAAGTTAAAAAAAAGAGAGCACAAGACTGTGGAAGTAGAAATATTCAACACTGACCAACCTGTGGTATAAATTTAAACATTGGGGTCACGAACAGTAGAGAACATCCAATGATAATTCCTGTTACAAGGCCTGATAGGCCAGTCTTGGCTTCACTTTCACTATTCACCGCTGACCTAGAAAAGGATCCTATATAATACATTTAGGGTATTAACAGATTTATCAAATTCAGGCTACAACTTAGAAAATATTATAACCTTTTGTTTTGAAATTACCATAGAAAACACACATTACATGTTGTCACTAGGTTATGGCATTACTCATCTCAACAGTCAAGATTACGTACCTGTAGTTGGATATGCAGAGAATAGTGACCCAAATATATTTGCAACACCAAGACCAAACAACTGTCAAGTCACGGGAGAAACAGACAGAACTCTCAACGACCATAAGATGTAGAGATTAAAAGAACAAAGTACAACATTTAATGGTAAGACTTGGGCTAGCCGCTAGCACTTGATTTTTTTTATAGGGTTAATACCTCTGAATTTGAATCCAGTTCGTATCTATTTTTCGCGGCTAGTGCTTTCGCAATACCTACAGATTCCTGGATAAAAAGTCGAACTAGCATATCAGAAAACACAAACATGCACAAACTGCAGCTGAAACTAATCAAGAAACTCGCTCTTCTGCTTCTCAAGAGGTCAAATTACTCCATGTCTCAGCAATATCCATCCATTTACAGATTCTCATGATTAGGTTCAGCTGCACCTCGCGTAAGTCCAGGAAAAAGTTAGTGACTATGATGTCTCACCAAGATGGCAACACCAGTAATGAGAGCCGATGTTGGAAGCAGTAATTTAGCATGATCAAAACTTTTTGGGAAAGAAAACTTTGGAAGTCCCTGAGGTATATCTCCCACCTGAGAAATCCTAAAAACTTTGCAATCAATTACTGCAAACACTCACAAAATACTGTATGTAGCTTCAATAGGGAAAAAATATAAGAATTTGATTCTTTAGCAATCTGACCAGTGTGATGGAAGGTGGATGGAACACTTTTGCAATCATTGTACCAAGAGCAAGCCCTGTGAGCGGTCCTGCTGCTCGTACGAACTGAAGTTCCTTCTTTGCTTTTCCCTGCCGCAGAACGCGATGCCTTAGCATAATAATAGTAAGGGAACATAAGAACAATCCTACGGACACAGGGAAGAACAAGGCTCATACCACATGCTTCATTACTAAAAGGATCACCAGAATGGTAGATCCCAACAAGAAAGGTGGCCACTTAAACTGCAAAACAGAAATTCAGATGAAGTTATACAAGTAGGCATAGGAGGTATGTTGAACCAAAAGGAATTGCAACACCATTAAGAATCTGAAGACCAAACCTGATCAGCTCCAGCTATTATGCTCTCAATTACTGGCATAATCTTGCTGCTCCGAGAAACGCTATACCCTAGAAAGTATTTCAATTGGGATAACCCAATCACAACAGCTGAAGCAGTTGTAAATCCAGAAATGACTGAGTGACTTATGAAACGAATAAGCCATCCAAGCCTGGGTTGAAAAAACAAACGAACAACTTGTTCTAACACTACAAAAAATACAGGACTTTCTTGCACAAGTAAGCTAAAGCAGTAGCCGTAAAGAGAAGACTATAATCACCTCAAGAACCCCATAATGCACTCAAATATCCCAACCAGAAGAGCCAGCAAAATGGCAAGCTCAGTGTATAACTCTTCAGATGGATCAACAATTCCACCCAAGGCATTAGAGACGAGAAGGGAAACTAATGCTACAGGTCCAACTGCAAGCTGACGGGATGAACCGAAAACGGCATACACAAATACAGGCACAAATGAGGAGTCTGCACCAAACAAGATTAATAACTAAATGCAAAATTGGGAATAGCTTAGTATCACATTGATGAATTCATAAAAGGGTATTGAACTCACATAGACCGTATATTGGTTGAAGCCCAGCTAACCTTGCATACGACATTGCCTGCTCAAATCCATCAAAACGGAAGTTATTAGAAACTAAACTCACTTAACCAAGAAGAAGTACAAACATACTCATTAGAGTTCCTGTGATTCACACTTTCTATACATAGACGATCTCTAGATGGTAGAATTTCAGGGTAAATATAATCAACAGAAACGACAATCAATAGAAAATGACCTGGGGAACAAGCATGATACCGACGGTGATACCAGCCATAAGATCGAGCTTAAAGTATTGATGCCACCGGTAAGTCCGAATCCAAAGGAAGCAAGGAAATATGGTATCAATCCAGTCGAAGAACGTCATACGCTTGATCTTCACCGTCCATCGGGAGAAGAAATCATTGAAGGGAATGGAGTGACAGTGAGGATCAGAAGAGGTGGAATCGGGATGCTGGAGAGGAATGATCTTCACCGGAATCGCCGTGGATGAAGAGGACGAAGCGGTGGAGAGATCCTTGACGGCGAGAGACATCGGAATTGGTGGGATAGAGAAGAATGTGATCAACGTGAAGAGAGACGTATCACTGATTGTAGCATGAAGAAACAGAGAATAGCGTAGTGCCAGTTTGGGATGGATAAGGACGAAATGGCAGCTACATTCGTAACTTTATATTAATGCTTTATAACATGATTGCGTGTCTTAATAATACTATTAATCAGCATGTTTGTTTGTTTAGTTGTTTACTGTTTAGTATAAGCCTTTGACTAAAACAGTACCATCTTTAAATATCCTGTCATGATTCAAGTTCATCATTCCTTCAATTTTAAAATTCGATCATTTTTCATAGTTAGATGATCTCATTAAACTAGGTGGTTTTATGAGTTCGTACAACATTTTGTGCTCTACTCTCTAGTAAACTGTATATCATATAAAAAAACACTCAGCTCGATATTTAGCCCACATACTTGAAACCGATACATGTTGCTGGTGTTCTCACTTCTCAGGGAGCTCGCCCAACATTGGCACAGAAGATACCTGACTTGTTCTCACTTAGGCAAAGACGAATAAGCTCCCTAGCGTTGCCTTAAGGGCCTCTGTAAAACATGTGTAGTGGCGGTTTGTATTTGTCTTCTAAAAAAAAAAAAACAGAGAAAAAAAATGAGTGAGAAGTGCGAAGAGCCTTACCCTTGGTTCATTGTTGGCTTCACGCTGTTGTCTACTACTTCTGGTGTCTCTGTCTACATCAGCCTCTGGCTTGTCATGCTTGTAAAATGCTTCTAAGGCTCTTATCACAAATGGGCGGACTATGTTCACTTCCATTGCCGATACATTAGAGATCTACATTCTCAAGTTAGAGATTTAGTTATTATTCAAATCAATCACTCTTGAGAGGTAATGAGAAAAAGGCAATGTCAAGATGAAGAAATAAAAAACAGTTACCTTTACTGCAGATGTACCTTGAAATGATCCCAAGTTAGTCTCGAGTTTATGAAGCCGCACATCTCTGATGTCCTCGACTAGGGATCTCACCTATAGAAAATTCATAAACGGCTATAAAAGCTTAATTCAAACACATGGTTTGAATGTGAGACAAATTCAGATGTATAAGAAATTACCATATACATGTCTGGAATATCATCACGTGCACTGCCAAAAGTGATTTAAAATACTCATAAGCACCCTCTGATGATATTAAGTGCAAAGGGAAGCAAAGAAACAAGAAGAGCCTAAGAACCTACTGGTCAAAAAGTAGTCTGGCAATTTCCACGTAACTAAATGGTAATGCCTGAAATGTCGACTGAGATTCACGTTCTGCTTCCAAGATCTGAGTCAAATTATCTAGTTCACAAACAAAGAAGTAACAGGAAAGTTAACACTCCTCATTTTCCTTAGCATTTAAAATTTATCTTGTCTTACCAACAGACATCCACCCAGGAGGCCGGAAAGTGCATTTTCCTCTCCTCTTCAGTGCCACTGCAAGCCACAGAGGCACCTTTGTCGGAATCTGAGGAATGAACCGACCGAAATCGCCCTGTCATTGGTTCACATATTAATCACATGGTTAACAAAAAGGCTCCAAGGGCATTGATTTCAGGATTGCATAAAACAAGAAAGATTACACTGATGAAATTGAGTTGCTCCATATTCATATTAGGAACAATCTCCACCAGTTCGTCCTCTGCCATAAACTCAACCTGGTATGATTATAGCTAATCAATTATACCATTGCAGACTGTACACAAAGAAACGCATACAAGTAAAGAGGAGAAAAAGGACCTCTTGTGGAGAAAATAGTGAAGTATGAGGATCAGTCTGGCCAGCCATTGATGTATTATCTCAAGAAATCTCAGTTTCCAGACCTAAATGCAAACATGTGGTATAATACAAAGAAGGCAGAGAAACCCTGATCAAAATAGAGACAAAATACAAAACCTTCTGAAATCTAAAGAACATGTTAAAACAAAGTTGACAAACCTCAAAATTAGTGGAGAGAGTAAAAATCTAGCTTGTATCAATAGCCCAAAACAAAGGGTGGAAAAATTATCCTTGGTAGAGACATTTAATCAAACACCTTGTCTACAGAAAATTCATCCTTATTTTCTAGCACATATCCACTTCCAATTTCAGCAGCATCATGAAACAGTAAATCTTTAAAAATATCTAGTGATCCAACAATGAAATTTCGCAAATTCTGAGGACTAATTTTAAAAAGAACGCCGGATATTATTGTAAGAAGAGAATCCTCTGTTCCTGATTTGTGATATGAGGTCGAGTTACCTGGGTAAATTTTGTGTGATTCCTGAAATTTCAGATCGATCTCTTCCAATCTCCTACGAACAGAAAGTAAATGAAATTCCCCAACACCGGAAACTCCCGAAGATTGAAAAATCAGCGATCACTTAGGTCGAAGAGGAGGAAATGGATCTAGCTTAGCAAACCCAGGAAAGAAAAATCGAAATCAAGTAGAAGAAGACGAGAATATAGAGAGAGACACATTCGACTGTCGATGCGGCTTTCTACGTTGGCGGGAAATCCGATTTCAGTGTAGCGGGAAACTAAAACTCCGATAGGTTTCGGTTAGACCGGTATTTTTAATTTAACCGAACTCAAACCAAAACCGGAATTATAAACCAAATCAATTTTATATCTAATTGATGATAAATAACACTTGTTGTAGTTGAAAAACAAACAAATTGTTGTAAACTGTGTTGTTCTATTGATTAATGAATGAGATTTCGATAAAGCAATGTTGTGCTGTATTCTTAAAGAATAAGGTAATGTTTTTGTTTTATTAAAATCTAAATTTTCTTCTCTAACCATATAGGCCGTCATAAGGAGAATCTTCAAGAACATGGGCATGGGCCTTCTAGGACATGGACATGGGCCTTCTAGAATATGCATAAGGTCCACGGTTATGGAGTCCATCCAACATGTGGTTTATAACACAAATCGAATCAAACAACCACTAAATTTTATATTGAGTCAAACGAGAGATGGTAAAGCAATGTTGTGCTGTATTCTTAAAGAATAAGGTAATGTTTTTGTTTTATTAAAATCTAAATTTTCTTCTCTAACCAGAATCAAACTCTTTTGTGTTCATGGCTTTCACGTCATGACGACTTTCTCCTAATCCTTAAAAAAAAGGATCCAAACCAATAGGTGAATCAACATACGACTTGATTGGAGGCACGACTGTGTTATTTATCACCTCATCATATCTTCCTACATTAGTTTGTCTTTTTTTTGTAATGCTTCACCAAATTTGCTTTTAGTTTCTCTCGACTCCAAACAACACAAAAATGAAACTGGAAGACTTACTTGTGGAAGACGAAACCAAAGATCAACCTGGCGTTAGCGTTGCGGCTCTTCTTGATCATCATCGTCGTCACCCCCAGCCCCTGCAACAACAAGTAAGTCAAACTCGTATATATATAACATCATATTTGGAATCCCAACAATGAGATATGGAAACCTAAATCATGCTTATATCTATTCTTTTGTTCTGATCGGTTTTGTTGCAGCCATCAAAACTGAATGAGCAAAAGAGCGAAGAAGAGAAGAATGATTTGTTAAAGAAGAAGCAAAAGCGAATTCTTCAAAAAGAAGTGATGAAAATGCAAGGAGAGCTAGAGGACGAACAAGCACTAAACAAGGCTCTACGTGATATGCATCGTGGACCCGTCATGTCTCAGCCTCGTCTCTCTTTACTGCTTCTTCCTCCTCAGGTAAGTCAATCTCGAGTTAAGGCGTAATTTGAATGAATGAAATGGTGGAACTTGATTTTGAGTTTTGTATAGGTTCAGGAGCTTATAGAAGAGCTTGCGACGGTTGAGGCAGAGATACTCTGTCTTGAGAAACGAATCCAAGACTTGAAACTTGATGTGTATAGTGAGAAAAAAGAGAATAAAGAACTTGAAGCCAGTATTGATCAAGGAGAAGAAGAGAGGATGATGAATCCTAAGAGACTACTACAAAGGCAGAATCATCTTCCTTGCGACGCTGACAATGACATTATAAAGATGAGATCTGAGGATCTAAAACACAGATCCAAGTCCCAGAGTTATGCAGATCATCATATTGTCAAGGATATTCAAATGAACAGTCCTCGTACTCATGCGTCAATTGGATCATCTATGGAGTTCTCATCAAGAATCCATTCTTCGACTTTTTCTGATGGAACATCAAGAACACAAGAGAGTAAGAATGTGCAAGAGACGACACCAAACGGAGTATCGGAAGATCTGGTGAAGTGCTTGATGGGAATCTATCTGGAACTCAACAGGTCTTCGCGTGAACGAGAAGGGTCAAAAACTGTTTCAAAGCTGAGCCTTACACACCTCAAGAACGCTTCTTTCAAACGCAAATCGGTGTATGACCATAACGCATCGAATCTTGATCCTTACGGAGCTGTGATGGGGACTTCTCTTAGAGACATAGGAGAGTACAAGAACTTCATCCATATCACTCGAACCTCCATTGATGTTAGCCGTTTATCCGATTGCTCCACTTCTCTTGTCAATTTGAGGTACTTAAAATTTTAGATTTCCTTCTTAAAAATCTGATGAGAACACAGAATCTCATGATCTATGTATAATTACACACACATGACACATGCAGGGTTTTGAAGGAGAAGTTGAGCAAAGTCGATTTGAGTTTCTTGAACCACAAGAAAAAGATGGCATTCTGGATCAATACCTACAACGCCTGCGTTATGAATGTAATTCCAAATCTCAATACATATTTAGTTGAAGCAAAGTCAAGATTTCGGAAAATAACTTTGTTTGATTGCAGGGATTTTTGGAACACGGACTACCTTCATCAAAAGAGAAACTACTGACTATTCTGAAAATGGTAACTAATACAAAACAAGAAACATCTATAACATCTCATACTTAAAATAATTAATCAAATTGACTTGTGTTGTAGGCAACAATTGACGTGGGAGGTACTCAACTGTCTGCTCTAGATATCGAAGGATCCATCTTGCTGAGTCCATGCGAACCTAGGGAATCTGTAAGTACTCATACTGATGTCATATAATTAACCCTCTGAAGTTGTTATAATCAATATTGAATTTTTTTTTTGTTCTTCATCCGAATAAAAAGGTTTCAGCCGGTGAAAGCGAAGTAAGAATACAGCAACGCTACGGATTCAGATGCGTAGAGCCAAACCTAATGTTCGTGCTTTGTCGTGGAGATTGGTCCTCACCTGCTGTAAGTTCACTAAATTCGTTCAAATTTGATAAGTATTGCCTCAAAGGTAGTAACTAACAAAGCATGTTTGTTCATCACCTATATATACATGATGCAGTTGAGAGTCTATACAGCAGAAGATGTTGTGAACGAACTAATCAAAGCAAGAACAGAGTATCTAGAAGCTTCCATCGGTGTATCGGGAAGGAAAAAGATTGTGATTCCGCGATTCCTGCACAAACGTCTACGGGATTTCGCTGAGGATGAAGGGTCGTTAATTGAATGGATATGCAGCCAATTACCACCAGTCCAACGTTGCTTGCAGCTCAAGGAAACAGCGGTCGAGTGGTTGAACAAGAAAGGTGAATCCCAATTGAAAAAAATGATAGAAGTGAGGTCTCACGAATACGAGTTTCGTTATCTCTTGCCTTTGTAAAATCTAATCCTTCAATTGTAGTATTTGAGCCTTGAAAATACGATTATTCTATATGTGTGTTTTTTAAAAAGAAAATGAAGTTATAGAGAATTTTGATTAATCATGCATGGAAACAATCAAAATACTAAAATAGTAACTCCAATACATTCCATAAAGGTCGAGAATCATTATTACATCACAAATAGAAGAATAATCGTTTGTGACATGAGAAAGCTGCGAGTTAGGGATGACATACTATGTATTAATAAAAACCTTTATTTTAAATCTAGATTATGATATACAAATCAGTAGATTACAAATACCGGTCAAAATAAGTGTGCTGTATTATTGTTGTAAATGTATAATTTGTAGATCTTTAACACTTAGGATGAGGAACACGACAAGCAATGAGAAGTCTGGGCAAGAGGACAGGGTTCTTAATAAAATACTTACAAGCACATGGTTGTGGCTTTACCAGTCTTCCACAACAGTAACTCGGCAGTTTGGTTCCTTTATCGATGGCAACTAAACAATTTGCAACCAACAACTTTGATCGGAGCAGACAAGAGTATGACGAAGGCAATGAGCATCAATGGAAGGATCTTCATGTCTAATTATTTAGTAACTTTCTTTGTTTTGTTTTAGGTCTTTTTAAATAAGAAATTGGAATCATGTTTAATTCCGACAAAAAATGGAAATATGAATGGTTGGAATCAATTCTTAAACAAAAAAAAAAGGAAAATATCATCAATTGACTTGTTCAAAAAACCTACAGAATTAATTTTCGAAGTCCCTCATCTTAAAGCCTTTCCTAAACCGAACCGAAGTATCATCAAATCACAATCTTTGTCTCCGGTTTACAAATCCCCTCTTGCGACGACTTCAACGCGCGACCATAGCGCGTGGAATACAAACAGAGATTTCTTGGAATATCTCCAAAGCCCTTTTGCTGCTTCTCTCTCGAAAATGGAAACGAACTTAGAAAAAAAAAAAAAATCGAAATTAATTGGGAAACAAAATATCTTATGATCTCCAGAATCTGCTGAAGAAGTCTCGAGCTATATCTCTTCTTCTCTACAGGCGATTTCTCAGGTACAGTTCTTAAACGTGTTCTTTGCTTTGACATTCATCGTTTCTTTCCCAATTTGCTTCTGGGTTTTGGGTATTTTTCTTCAGTTTTGCAATTTCATAAGTCGATAGTGAACACTAGGAAACATTAGACCCCAATTGTTCATAATATCTCTAGAAATCAGACATGCATGTTTCATAAAACATAGAGAGAGTGTTAAGCAGAGAAGTGAACATATTTTCCGGATCTTACAATGTACTTAGATTATGCAGCTCGTAGATGTAAAACAATCACTGGAGGCGGTGATGAACAACAAATTGAGTGATTTTGAGAAAAGTTTGTACAAAAAACTCAAGAGTGGAAAGCTCGAGGTGAAAGTCTCCTACCGGACTTTCCTGTGTCCCTATTGCCCCGATAACAAGAAGAAGGTTGGTTTGTATGTTGACATCCTTCAACATGCTTCTGGAGTTGGTAATAGCAAATCCAAGAAAAGAAGTTTGACTGAGAAGGCAAGCCACCGTGCTCTTGCCAAATACCTTATTAAAGATCTTGCACATTACGCTACAAGTACAATATCTAAGCGCTTAAAAGCCAGAACATCACTCACTCCTGCTGAAGGCGGCGATACTCCTCTAGTTTATGATGATGATCAATTCGAGAAACTTGTGTGGCCTTGGAAAGGTAATGAATGACACACACTTTTTTAAGGCCCATCTCCTATGTCATTACAAGTATCTAAGAGCACTATGTGGATTTATAGCCTCTACTAACTGAAGTTTTTGTCTGTGGCTGGGATAGGCGTTTTGGTTAATATTCCCACGACGATTACACAAGATGGTCGGTCTTGTACTGGAGAGAGTGGTCCAAAACTTAGAGATGAATTAATCCGAAGAGGATTCAACCCAATTAGAGTTCGTACTGTGTGGGACCGTTTCGGTCATTCAGGAACCGGGATAGTGGAATTTAACAGAGATTGGAACGGACTTCACGATGCTTTGGTGTTCAAGAAAGCCTATGAAGCAGATGGTCATGGGAAAAAGGATTGGCTGTGTGGTGCTACTGACTCGAGACTTTATGCATGGCTTGCCAATGTTGATGATTACTATAGGGCTACCTATTTAGGAGAAAAATTGCGGAAGACGGGTGACCTCAAAAGTATTTCTAGGTTTGCAGAAGAAGAGGCAAGGAAAGACCAAAAGCTTTTGCAGCGTCTGAACGTAATGGTTGAGACCAAACAAAATCGGTTGAAAAAGTTAGAGATAAAATATTCACAGGATTCAATTCGACTTAAGTATGAGACTCAAGAAAAAGAAAAGATTCTCCATGGTTACAATGCAGGTGAGCTTTGTCCTTCTATCTTCAGTATTCATATCCCCTTAGCAAAGTATTGTTGCATCACTCAGCTATACATATTTCTATTGATGGTGTTTATATTCGTGTTACATTTTCCGTTTTGCATCTGAAGATCTGACAGGAAGACAACAAAAATCGACTGATCACTTCAATAGGATTTTTGCTGATCATGAAAAGCAAAAGGTGCAGCTGGAGTCTCAGATAAAGGAACTTGAAATTAGAGAGTTGGAGTTGGCAAAACGTGAGGCAGAGAATGAAACACAGAGGAAAATAGTGGCAAAAGAGCTTGAACAGGTATATGCTAACATGCTCATTTCTGGATTGCCTCTCCGTCTTCTAAAATTTGTTCAATGGCACTATTTTCAGAATGCTGCTATTTTTAGTTACGCTCAACTAGCTGCCGTGGAACAACAAAAGACCAGAGAGAAAGTGCAAAGATTGGCTGTAGATCACAAGGTCTGGGAATGCTTCCTTCTTTAAAAAGGTTGGTTCTTTAACTTTATGTGACAGGGTCCTGCCATGTTTTTAACCTTAGATGCAAAAGGAAAAGCTTCATAAGAGAATTGCTGCACTAGAAAGGCAGCTTGATCAGAAGCAGGAGCTCGAACTGGAGGTCGAGCAACTGAAAAGGCAGCTGAGCGTGATGAGACACGTGGAATTGGACAGTGGTTCTGAAATTGTGAACAAGGTGGAGACCTTCCTCAGAGACCTTAGTGAGACGGAAGGAGAGCTTGCACACTTAAATAAATTTAATCAAGATCTTGTTGTTCAAGAGCGGAAGAGCAATGATGAGCTTCAAGAAGCTCGAAGAGCATTGATAAGTGTATGTAGCTCTATTATATTTGAACAATTTTCTTTGAAATTTGGTCTCATAGAGTCGCTAGGTTACTCTTTGCATGTTGTGAGTTATATCATTATAAACTCGAATGATACTGACATGGTAGGCTAGAGTGGTTGGATGCATTAAAAACAGAAAAGACACTACTTGAATTTCCCTCTAATGTTTTTTCTTAACTTTGATTGCATTTATAGAATTTGAGGGACATGAGATCGCATATTGGTGTTAGGAGAATGGGGGAGCTTGACACCAAACCGTTTATGGAAGCAATGAGAAAAAAGTACTGTCAAGAAGATTTAGAGGATTGGGCAGTTGAAGTTATCCAGCTTTGGGAGGAATATCTTAAGGACCCAGATTGGCATCCTTTTAAACGGATAAAGCTTGAGACTGCAGAAACAGTAGTGGTATTCCTTCTCCTGTATATCACAAAATCCAAATCGATTTTGTTTTTATTTTCCATCCTAAATAATATGTTTCTTAAGTGTTGCTAGCAGAAGACCACTGCATTCATGTGCATGCGTACGACTGCCAAATACATGTGCAGATTTGTTTATGCATGTTGGCCTTAGTTTATGGATTGGTGTTTGATATGTAGAACCCTGAAGCTGTTGATATCTTTGTCAGGAAGTAATAGATGAGGATGACGAGAAGTTAAGAACCCTGAAGAATGAACTGGGGGATGATGCGTACCAAGCAGTGGCAAATGCATTGCTGGAAATAAACGAGTATAATCCAAGTGGAAGGTACATCTCCTCAGAGCTATGGAACTTTAGAGAAGACAGGAAGGCTACGCTTGAGGAAGGTGTTACTTGTCTACTGGAGCAATGGAATCAGGCGAAGCATCACAAGCCTTAAATGTTATATTTGCATTTACCCGGTAGACTAACTACCAAAAATCCCAGCTCTTTCGAAGTTTGCCTCTGCTTATATAGTTGTTTTTTTCGAATTTTGCTAACCTGAGGACTGTACTTTGCAGTTGCAGGAGATGGAAAATAAGTTTTGCGCATAAAAGATGTCAAATGCAAGGTTCAACAAGTGTCTCTCGTCTTTGATGGAATATGGGTCTTAGAATTGGAAAGTAGGTGTAAATTAGAGGAGGATGGCGTCAAATTAGGATGTGGGCTCGAAGTTGGAACTATGTTTCTACACTTGACGGTTCAACATTGTAGGAAAATAAGTAACAAACATTGTTAGATGCTTCTAAACCTTAGAGAAGTTTATGAATTTGTGAAGAAATGAACACTTTGGCTTAGTTAGGTCTTTCCACCAATAACAAACACGTTACTGTGTCTTATTATTCCAAAAATCATAGAGCAGCAGTATTTATTATATTTCAAATTGGGTTATCACATTTTGTCACAACATCACTCTCACTTCTTTGAGCTGAAATTAATATAACATTTGGTTTATAAATAAAAAAAAACGAAATAATGAAGAACGTTGACTTGTCACTTGCCAGAAAGGATAGAACAACAAAGAATGTCTAAAATTACAAGATCCCTTGTATGGACCGAATTATCACACAATTTTGAAAGAAAAAAAAAGATAGAACCTAAAAATTTGGTTAGGGACGAATCTCATCCCAGTTGGAGTCATTTACAGATGCCAAAGCAGAATGAAAAAAAAATGTATTTAGGAGGAAAAAAACGAGAAATAAAGACAATTAATCTTTGCAGAAATTGAGTTTTCGATTTATTGTGTTGTTTGCTTCTGTACACCCACCCACCAATGCGTACCTCCTTTTTTTACACTGAAACACCTGATTCAGGAGCTATACCTCTGTTCATCTCTGGATCTTTGGAAGCTCCTCTCGCTTGATGTTTACCTTGGTGCTGCGACCAATACCCGTATGCCCTCAAGACTCTGTCTAGGAGTTCTTGTGGCACCGGCTCTCCTCTTCGTTGCTGAGGTGATATACTTGCTGTGTGAACAAGCGTCTTCCATTTGTCCTGCATATTCACATGTTCTTGAGACATTAAGCTACTGTGAGACGTGATATGTTCCAGATTACATGTTTGTGTCTAATGTGTTTACCTTCAAGTCCACGTAAGTCCGATGATCTGCATCCTCGAAAGCACGCAATTTCACATCACGCCATCTGTGTGATGAGATATATCGACCATTAGCTTTTGAGTTTTGACTTTAAACCACGACCAAACCACATGAGTTATGGTGGAACTAGTGTTATATACCTTCCAGTCCCGAGTTCCTCAACTGCTTGTACAAGAGCTTCTACCTCTGTCACAGAGAAGGGTCTCCTGGTTCTGCGCTGGGCTAGCTCAGTACGCTTAGGTTTCTGGTTCAACGGAACTATGGCAAGCGCCTTAACTTCCAAGGCTGGAAGTGGAACAAGCTCTTTTGAATCCGATGAAGGTTCATCAACAGATATGTCCCCCTGATATGGAACTAATTCGAGGTTACTGTCCACAATATTTCCTGAATTAATCATGTCCTCTGCATGGGGAATTCCAGAATCTAACATGGGAGACGCCGCAGACCTGGGATGATAATTCAGAACCGCTTTTGCTTAGGAATCTTCAAGAAGAATGAACACCAGTGATATTCAACTAAAGCAGCACAAGGATATGATAGCGAATTTCTTAGTACCGTTCAGACAAACTCGTAGGGTCGGTTGGCACAGCAGGATCTTCGAAACACAAAGGTAGGGGAACTTTGCTGGGACCAGGCTCCAAGGTGAACCCAAGGTTGTCTAGAATTTCATCACATGAGATCCCAGTCTGTGACAGAGTTTTCCTGTCATCTCTAAGCTTCTTCCCATGCTTTAATACCCCAACACGTATTCCTCCGCTGAGTAAAACACTGACAGCCTCCATCACCGTCCTCTGCAACCAAAAGGGTCAAAGATCAAAACGGTATTTTGTTACCACCTCAATGTCCACACAAGAGAACCAAACATAGGTGAGGGAACAAAAGAAGATAGATATTGGCATGTACCTTTAGTGATCCTACTGTTGCAGTTTCTGGAACTTCAATAAAAAGCTCTGGAATCCTAAAGGACTTAATGCTTAGCTTTACTGCACCAGAGATAAAAATACATGAGAACCACATTATCCCGTCTCCGGATAAATGTCTCAGTATCATATACCATCCGGTCAAGTACCATGGGAGCCCTTTGAGAGGACCACAACAGCTAAGATGAAATAACTGAAGAGTTTTGAGATAGACTACAATAACCACCTGTATCTCCCTTCTTGGGTAACTTGGAAACACTTCCACTACTGAGTCCTCCATCAGAAGTTACGACCGAGCTTCTGTCAGGTGATTTTCTTCTCTTATAAATGATCTCACGCTGCCATGCGTTGTATCCATAACATGATTTTCTTTTGCGATAAAGAGTCTTTACACCGACATCTAGACATCCATGTTCAAAGTAAGAACAGGGCGAATCACAAAAAGAAGAAATGTGTTCAAAGATAAGTGAAGCAGGCTGTGATACTTACCAGCTCTACTGTGTCCAAAATCTTTGGGAACTTGTTTCCAGTATTTGGACGACAGCGACTTTCTTATTCTTCGAATTGTAGGAGACCTATACGACTTAAATTTATTGCTAAGTTTCAGGTAACTATAAAAATTTTCATCATCATCTCTACTACCTAGGTTAGTATGACTCCCATGTCTAGCATAGGAACCATTAGGGGTCATATCCAAGCTGGATGGTGATTTTAGATCACCACCCACACGGACTGATTTCGGAAACTGCACACCTAACGCAGTTGCATCCTCTAAGTTGCAAGTATCAGTGATTAAGCCTCCATCTCCCAAGCAATCAGTTGCTTCTCCTTGGTCAAACCCAGTATTCACATTAACATCACCCATGTCCATCAAACCATGAATCTTCTTGTAGTCAGACATAGGAGTTCGCTCCAAAACGCCGTCACTATCCGGAAATGAAAAACTGTTCACCACACACTTGTCAGTAGAGATTTCATAAGTAGGCTTTGACACAGAGTTTCCTTGGTCAGAAGACTCGGATTTAATAGGCTTGCATTTATCATCTTGCTCTTGTTTAATTTCTTTATCGTGATTATTCCCTTCAAATGCATTGGACGACGCGGAGGAACTCTCGCTTTCCTGTAGAATCTTTCCAGCCAAAGCTAGTAAGTCAATTGCACAGATCTGAGTGTCATTATCATCATCAATCCTCTTGTTTAGGACCTTCCTCTGTAAAAAATAAAAACAACCAAAATTAAAATTCATCAGAACGCAAATCATGACATTGAGCTAACAGATCCAGATGAACGACAGTGATAATTGACCCTGCATGAACGAGGAGCCCTGGGAATATTGGGGAAATCAAAGCGGCAATCTAACTTCCTCTTGAACACCATCTCTCAGATATGCATATCACTAGCAACACAAAACAAAAGAAACACTGCAAAGAATGAGAGCACAAACATTTACATTCAGATCATCATTAGCTAGACTAATCATGATGAGAATACAATTTATAGAGAAGCCAAATGATGATGTTAGGCATTTCAGGATTATAGATCAAAACATTGAATTGGACAAATGCATAATCAGAAAGTAGCAACAAGAATCATCAACGGTAACCAAATATAGATCAGATCAATACAAACAAAGCCGAGCCTTTGATCTAAGAAAAGCATAAAACCAAGAAATGGAAATGTAAAAGCGTTAGTAAAATTGAACAAGACAGAGTTAAAGACTCAAATGCCAGAAACTGCTTACAACTCCAATTAACAAAACCAGTCAAGATGAAAAGAAACAGTAACCGATCAGATGTCGAACAAATTCTTTCGAAAACCGGATCAGAGTCAAGGATCTAAAATCACCCAAAAACCCTGAATTTTACAGATCGGTAAGTCAATTGCGATTAAAAAAAAAAAAAAAAAAAACTCACCTATCAGCCACCAGTTTTCTTGATCGCGAACCACTTATTATTACAGATCACGCAAACTAAAACTCAAATTTCCCCATACCCGATTTGAATTTTGTTTTATGTATAACAATGTACAAAGACAAATTAGCATCTATCTATACAGAAACTCGAGATTCTGAGATTTAAAGAAATGAAGAATTCTCGAGTTATTTTTTTTTTTTTGTTGCGGTAAGAATCCGTCGTTGTCCTTAGAAAAGAGAGAAGGAAGAAGACGTGAAAAGCCCCAATGAAACAGAAACCCTTTTTTATATAATAAATCTCATAAACAAATAATTAAAAAGTTTTTATTGACCACACAAATAACAATGGGTTGAGATGAGGCAGTTGAAGTAAACCGGTTAACCGGCTATTGACGGTCACCCTTTGTTAATTTATGGTAAAACCCTTCTCTCCGGCTAACCGGCTATTGAGGGTCACCCTCTCTCTCGGGGAATCATCATTCATTTCTTTTTTTTTTTTTTTTTTCATCATTCATTTCATAACCCCTTAAAGAAAGAAGATAGGTTTGTCAGAAGAATCTTTAATTTTAGGGATCGGATAAAAACAATGCAATAGTGCTGTTTGTGATTGGAGTGGGGTCTTTTTAATATACTCCTAGTACTACAAAAGCTGTCTTTATCTTCCACGTGGGTAGAGGAAAGCCTGTGACAAGTCTATTGCTTTGGTAATAACGTCGTCACAAGGTTTTTTAAGTGTTCACTAAACTTGAGTGATAACATGAATTTCTTGATGGAAATTGTTTATATGTTAAGACATGTTGAAGCATGTGCTAATGGGGCCAAAACGAACGTGTTCTGTGTTTAAGGTATTTAGTTTATCTTGTGAATGATCATGTTCGTGTGTTGGATGCGCCAATCTCATGGACTAAAGCATATTAATGTAAGAATCGAAATGTGTTGAATCTAATATAAATAAGGCCGGGTGTTGAATCGAATACTTTGTTATGTCGTCTTGGACTTCTGAGCGTGTCTACATATGTGGCTGGTCATGGACCCTTGTAAGTTATAACCTTCGTGAATATGGGCCGCATGACAATTGGTAAATGGGTCGGGTCGGACCATTCTATCGTAAAGCTACTAGGAAAATGAAAATGATCATACATTCTCCACAAATATGAACTTCCAATCATTTGCTAATAAGCTTTCGCTGAATTCATGATTATTATGCAAATATTGCTTATTAGGGTTTTATAATAATTATACGTTATATATTGGGAGAATGTATATGTCGTAATAGAGAACCACTGTTTCTTCAGTATATGCATGAAAGATATATCAAAAGTTCATAGATCTAGTTGATGTATCCGCGCTCGTTTCACTTTTAATTTGTACTATCAATTTTTTTGGATATGTGATAATTGTGGCCATGCATGCTTTCGTTATTAGATGTATGTCACGAAAAAAATACGTATACATTTCTTCCGTTCTAGAAACATATACACATGCTGCATGCACTTCAATCATATTGAAATCTCGTAGGTACTTTTTTTTTTTTTTTTTTGGTAAAAGGTGAAATTATATACCATTTTGAGATTTTTGATAGAAGTTACAGAGAAAACAAGAACGGATAAAAGCACGCTACAGAAAATAAAAAACAACATTACTAATCAAAAAGTTTGGGATCGCTGTTGAGAAATTATGGCCAAGTCGCGAGAAGAAACACCGATTCCGAGTCCGCGAAACTCGGAAATTTGCGTGATTGCCACAATACCGAAGTATTGGAATCCTCATCGTTGTTGCCACGAGCCGAACTACCCGAGGCCCGTCCTTAAAACCTCGAGATAGTAGCCTACAGCTTCTCCGAGAACTAACGCAAAAACGTACAGACAACCGCGGACTTCTACACTAGCTCAACGAGTTAGCGATGCCACTTAGACCTATCCGCCGCCTCTAATCAACACTCGGGGAACCTAGCCATAACACCCAAAAGCTCACCTTCACAAATTGAACCGACACCGACAACACCATGAACACCAAAACTCCACCTGAAAGCAAACCGGAGATGAAGCAAAAGGGACGAAACCCAATGGACACGGAGAATCCATACCCATGACAAAGAGGCTACCACCCTCAACTGCCCACCAATGGAGGAGAGACGTCGACCACCAAACGAAAACCCACAACGTCACTAACCACCACGAACAAACCACAAGAGCCAAAACGACTCCGTGAATTGCATCCACAAGAGAAGTCCGTCGGATCAATCACACCATCACCGGAGCTGGAGAAAACTAAGGCGGAGAGACCCGAAAAGAGAAGATCCGTCACACCGAGAACTCGCCGAAGTGCCCAAACCACAAGAGGAACGACGACGTCTGAAGAAACACGGTGATGCACCACCAATTTCTCAGATCTGGAGGATGGTCCCGCCGTTAGGAGCCGCACCGCTGCTACAATCGCCGCATCAAAGCCACAACCTAAAACAGAGAGAGACACGCCGCACGTCCTTTGCTCCGTGCGTGGCCACTCGCCGCTTTACCACCAACAAGAGACGAAGAGCAAGCGGAATTTGGACACCACCGAAACTTCAAAGGGGAGGCGGAGAAGATAACAGAGAGGAAGGGGAAAGAGAGAGAAGCCCTCTCCGGCCACCGGTGAGGAGCACCATGACCGGAGAGGCAGAGATCGAGATCTAGGTTTGGTTACTGTAGCGTCGTTCTCTTTGATAAATCGCTGCGCGTGTCCCTTCCAGTAATCGCCGCGCGTGTCCCTCGTAGATACATTTTGGTACGGTTTGTTGGTATTCTGAGATTTGTAGGTAGGTAAATGGATTATAATTAAAAAAGGGCCAAATTTAGAAGAAAAAAAGAAAAGCAAAGAGAAATTAGAAGACAGGAGAGTACTGATATAAAATCTTGGGCGGTTGCATGGTTAAGCCGCCTCATGGCACAAACGGATGACAATGACGTTCTATAAAGAAAAAAAAAACAAAGCATCAAAAGTGGTCTACGGAAATTCAACATGAAGTATGGAGCTTAAGTTATAATCGATCAATTATAGTATTATACATCGTTAGATTCGTTACTATAGACTATAGAGATTCGATTGATGTTTTAAGTTAGATGGAGAACCAAGTGGTCGTGGTCTAGTGGCTTTCACTTGAAGAGGAGTCGCCCTGTTGGTCCAGGCCAGAGATCGATTCTCCTCAAGCGCAAAAGTGCTAATCATTTCCATTTGGCCAGGGGCTTTCACCTAGTCTTCCCCAAATCCTGGGGAGATTAAGGGCTTCGGCCCCGAACCTCTTGGTAAAAAAAAAAAAAAAAAATTAGATGGAGCGTATATATGCAGTATTTATAAATCAAGGCTGATATTACTGTTTTCTTTTTGCATTTTTCCCAATAATGTATATATGCATACAGAAAAAACTTAACCTTCTAATTATCAAGATTTTTTTGCTTTTAATAAAATTTGCTTTTGACATATGTCAATATCTTGTACTATTAAAATTATTAAATTTCACTTAATACTTTTTTAGAAAATATCTAACATCTAGTGACAAAAATTGATCTTCCAAGTAATAGTCAATAATCTTTTAGTCAATAGTCATTATTTAAGATATTAACAAGTACTCCATTAATCAATAGCCATCAACTTTGTTACTAACACTTGGAAAAATCATTTGAGCAAGCCCCCATGAGTGGACCGCATATTTGACTAACGCAAACGGCAAATCCTAGCAGCTCCGTGAACATAACAGCGTTAACAAACGGCGTCCCCTGTCTTAAATTACGAGTTTTGTCAAAAGTCTTTCCTCTTTCTCGCTTCTCTCAAAAATTTGGGATCATTTTGATAGGAGCGACTCTGTTCCTTCGCCGCCGATACTCACTCTTATTCATCGGATTTGTTCCTCCGGTTAGATTTCTCGTTCCTTTCTCGTTTTTGTTCTTTGATGATCGTATCTGAATTTAATCTCTCTTGATTTTGTATCTGCAATTAATTGAGGTAAATCACTGTTTGATCTTGTCGAATCTCTGGAATATATATATCGAATTTGATGCTATCAGATTTGTGGATACGATTGTTGATGACCTTGTTCCAGATCCCTAGCTCGTTTGTTTTTTTCTTAGTGTTCCTGATTTGCTTCGTGAGTTTTTCGTTTTGAGAAGGATGGATTTGTGTTTGTTTGTTGAGATTAGATTGAATCTTAATCATATTCTTTGATCTCTCGATTGATATTCAGGTGGGATTGTAGCTCTCCATGTGTTGTAGTAGTGTCTCTTAGGCCAATGTTTTGGAGCTTATAGACAAATTCCGTGAAAACTTTGAGGTGGGAATTGTAAGATCCTGTAAGATGAAGATATCCCTGAATTGCATCTATGGGTTTGTTGATTGATGTTCTAATCTCTTGCCACCCAAGGGTTTTGATTCGCCCACTGTATCTGCTAGGGGGCCGCCTGTGGAAGAAATATGGGTGAGACTCTCATCACCACCCTGTCTATGGAGAACTATCACCCGTCAACACTACTATCCATGGATTCAGGTGCTTTTACTCATGAAGAATCAGAGAGGGATATAAATCGGTCGCTCCTACTTACTGGACCGCCTGATATTAATCTCCCACTCTCATCTGAAGCAAGCCCATCTCTGCTTTTGTGGAACGAACACTGTGACATCTTAGACGTTGGACTCGGCCCTCAGCTATATGAGCCTGAGGCTGTTGTTCATGTGCCTAAGGTTGCTAAGAAGTACAACAAGCGTGTTGATAGTGCATGGGGTGCTTGGCTTTTCTTCAGTTTCTACTTCAAACCTGTTTTGGATGAGAAGTCCAAAAGTAAGTTAACGAGGGACAGCAATGGCTTGTCCGGGTATGATAAATCTGATTTGCAGCTCGACTCCTTCTTGGTTCAGCATGACATGGAGAATATGTACATGTGGGTGTTCAAGGAAAAGCCTGAAAATGCCCTTGGCAAGATGCAGCTTAGGAGTTACATGAACGGACACTCACGCGAGGGTGAACGTCCTTTCCCTTTTAGTGTGGACAAAGGTTTTGTCCGCTCTCATAGAATGCAGCGGAAACATTACCGTGGTCTCTCTAACCCACAGTGCCTCCATGGAATCGAAGTTGTTTATTCACCCAACCTTTCTGTACTCAACGAGGATGAAAAGAAGAAGTGGACAGAACTCACAGGTCGAGATGTGAACTTTGCTATTCCAGCTGAAGCTAGTGATTACGGTTCATGGAGGAATCTCCCAAACACGGAATTTGAGGCTGAGCGACCTCTTCCTCTGGTTAAAGCTAATGGGCACACCCACCTGAAAAAGCTGAACGGTACCTGTCTGAACCTGTCTACACATTCCCCAGACCATGCAGTTGATACAGTGGAAGTTCAACCCGCTGGTAGCAATAAACGCAAAAGGGATTGTCTTGCTCTAGGAAACTGCGATGACTCGAGCTCAAGTGAGAAATCTCTGGACATGAAAATTCATGCAACGGAGCTACCTTGGTCAAATGATTTCAGCGGGGTGATAAAAAATGTCTATGGTCCAGTCACAGCCGCAAAAACAATATATGAAGACGACAAAGGGTTCTTGATAGTTATGAGCCTACCGTTTGTTGATTCGGGGAGGGTGAAAGTGACATGGAGGAATACACCAACACATGGAATAGTGAAGATATCATGTGTAAGTACAGCATGTGAGCCATTCATCAAGAGACATGATAGAACATTTAAGCTAACAGATCCAACACCAGAGCATTGCCCACCGGGAGAATTTGTCCGCGAAGTCTCCCTGCCGAACAGGATTCCAGATGACGCAACACTTGAAGCTTACCGGGACGAAACAGGAACAACACTAGAGGTTTTAGTGCCTAAACACCGAATGGGACCAGAGGAGCATGAGGTTCGCGTCTGTCTCCGTCCGTTCGTGCTAGAGTGAGATTGTAGCGCATAACTTCTTTAAGGATTTTATTGGTTCATATGTATCATTGGATTATTCACATTTAATAATATTTCCCCCATTTCATTGTGTTCTTAAACTTCTTAGTTCCTATTTTGTTCATATGCTTGAATTTGTGTTAAACAATATGAGGAACAGTAAAGCAAAAACTCTTAAAACATCAAATTGATCACAAAGCAGGTTCAGAGTAACACACAAAGATTAACTAAGCAACAAGTAAAACCAACTAGAACATAAAAGCAGAACAGAGAAGCTAAAGAGCTTAATCAACTTCTTCAATCTTGGGGCCAGCACCACCGCTACCACTAGCAGGAGCATCGTCATCCATTCCTGCAGCACCACCCATATCCGGCCCAGCACCTTGGTACATTCTGGCAATGATTGGGTTGCAAATAGACTCGAGCTCCTTCATCTTATCCTCGAACTCATCTGCCTCAGCCAGCTGATTCCCATCTAACCATTCAATAGCTTGGTCGATTGCATCCTCAATCTTCTTCTTGTCAGCTGCATCGAGCTTAGATGCGATCTTCTCGTCTTTGATCGTGTTCCTCATGTTGTATGCATAGTTCTCGAGAGCGTTCTTTGCATCAACCTTCTTCTTGTGTTCTTCATCCTCAGCCTTGTACTTCTCTGCTTCTTGTACCATCTTCTCGATCTCTTCCTTCGATAACCTTCCCTTGTCGTTTGTGATTGTGATCTTGTTTTTCTGTCCAGTCGTCTTGTCCTCAGCCGACACATTCAGGATACCATTGGCGTCGATGTCGAAACAAACAGTAATCTGCGGAACTCCTCGTGGAGCAGGTGGTATACCGCTGAGCTCGAACTTTCCCAAAAGATTGTTGTCCTTTGTCCGTGCTCTCTCCCCTTCGTAAACCTGGATCAATACACCGGGCTGGTTGTCTGAATAGGTCGAGAAGATCTGCTCTTTCTTGGTCGGAATTGTGGTATTCCTCGGAATCAAGACAGTCATAACACCACCGGCAGTTTCCAAACCCAAGGATAGAGGAGTGACATCAAGAAGTAACAAGTCTTGGACCTTCTCATTCCCTTCACCGCTTAAGATTGCAGCTTGAACAGCTGCTCCGTAAGCAACAGCCTCATCAGGGTTAATGCTTTTGCAGAGCTCTTTCCCGTTGAAAAAGTCTTGCAATAGCTGCTGCACCTTGGGGATTCTTGTAGAGCCACCAACAAGGACAACATCATGTACACTGTTCTTGTCCATCTTAGCATCTCTCAAACACTTCTCCACTGGTTCCATACACTTCCTAAACAAATCCATGTTGAGCTCCTCGAACCTAGCACGAGTGATGGTTGTGTAGAAATCAATACCCTCAAAAAGGGAGTCAATCTCTATAGTCGTTTGAGCAGTCGAAGAAAGAGTTCTCTTCGCCCGCTCACAAGCAGTCCTAAGCCTCCTCAAAGCTCTTGGATTACCAGTAATATCCTTCTTGTTCTTCCTCTTAAACTCCTGAACAAAATGATTAACCATCCTGTTGTCAAAGTCCTCACCACCAAGATGCGTGTCACCAGCTGTTGCCTTCACTTCAAAGATACCTTCCTCAATCGTAAGCAAAGACACATCAAAAGTACCACCTCCCAAATCAAAGATAAGAACATTCTTCTCGCCAACACTCGACGCCTTCTTGTCAAGACCGTAAGCAATCGCAGCAGCAGTTGGCTCATTGATGATACGCATGACATTGAGACCAGAGATAACCCCAGCATCCTTAGTCGCCTGACGCTGAGAGTCGTTGAAATAAGCAGGAACTGTAACCACAGCGTTCTTAACTGGAGTACCAAGGAAAGCTTCTGCAATCTCCCGCATCTTAACGAGAACCATCGAAGAGATTTCCTCAGCAGAGAACTGTTTCTCCTCCCCCTTGTGATTGACCACGATCATAGGCTTCTCACCTGGACCAGAAATAACCTTAAAAGGCCAGTGACTCTTGTCCGCTTGAACAGAGGGATCACTGTATCTTCTTCCAATTAGACGCTTAGCATCTGCAAAAGACACAACAAGTTTAATACATACTTCCTCCTAATTCACAACATAGAACACAATAAACACAAATTCGATATAACCAGAGATTCAGTATCCGAGTTAAGTAAGGAGCAAGCTAAATCACTAAGTGCCTATACAGCCAAAATTAGAAAGATCTGAAGAGACATCACATGCAGGAAGCAGATATAGTAAGATCAAAAGGTAGTGAAATCTTACCAAAGACGGTGTTGGTAGGGTTCATGGCGACTTGATTCTTCGCAGCATCTCCGATCAGACGTTCGCTATCAGTGAAAGCAACGTAGGAAGGAGTGGTACGGTTGCCTTGATCGTTGGCGATGATTTCGACGCGGTCATGTTGCCAAACACCGACGCAAGAGTAAGTTGTACCGAGATCGATACCAATAGCTGGACCTTCACCTTTACCCGCCATTAGAGATCAGAATTGTTCGCCGGAAATAGAAAGAATTTGTGTCTGTGAGCTTTGTTTTTTGCTTATAGAGAGAATTGTGAGTTATGTTTGTGGGGAAGAGAAGGCAGAGAGGTGTTTGTTTATATATGAATGAAGAATGCGTCGGCAAAGACCTTTCGAGAACATTCACGACTTAAAATCTCAGCCGTTGGATCTTATTTTTCCGCCATTTAATTTTATTGTTTCCTTTTTTGTTTTTAATCGATTCTAGCTCCTTCGAGAGGAGTCTTTTAAATATGTCAAAACCTCACGCCCGTTTTGAAAAAAATGTCAGGTCACCACCTAATTTACATTTTTGTTTTTCACATTTAAGAAAAGGAAATTATTTTGTAAAAAATGGAAAATAATTATTTACTTTTCTTTTTTGGTAAGATGGAAATAATTATTTACCTGTGTCGTCAATTTAAATTAGTATTTCGTAGAAAAAAAAAGAGGAAATTATTAGTTACTTTTGTCGTCAATTTTTACTAGTGAGCTACTCAAGTCAATGAAATATATTCCGAATTTTAGTAATTATTGGATGTTTAAAAAATATAAATAAATCTATATATGTAATAAAATGTCATAGTTACTTTTCACAACATTTTGATCGCCTATTGTCCAGTTTTAATTCTTAATCGGGTGATTTCAGTAAAATTTACTAGACTTGAAAAGATTTGTCAGGGTGTTTTAAGTAAATCCATTTCATATGCAAGATTTATTATTCAAAAGCTCAATTTGGCATGATTCAAATATTAATAACGTGTTTTTGCCTTTTTGGGGTTCAGTACTATGAAGATTGGTCCGTTGTGCTAAGAGTTTGGCTTGCTACGTGAATGTGAGACAACTTAAAACCATTTAGCGGGCATTATTAACTCGGAAGTACATGGTGTTTAAAATTTTTCTTTTGCTTGCAAGTAAAATCTAAATTCATCAAACATGCGAACATCATAAATTGGAGGAAAAATATATGCATATGCAAAATAAAACCTAGAAAGAAAACTTAGATAAAGATAATGGATTAAGAACATCTTGACAACATTTTTTATCTCAACAAAGGCAGTAAATTATCTCTTCTCAGTTTGAAACACTGATACTAGTATAAACTAAAAAGCCTTACACATCATTCTAAAATTTCATCACTCAAGTGGCTTCGTATTTGGGATCAGCAGTTACGTAGTGATAAGCAATTACCAATGCGAAGATGAAGATGCCAAGAAAATTGGCAATAAATCCCAAGTCTTGATCATCGATCATCTGCACCAACACAAACAATACTTGAGCAACAATTCCTTTTGTCGTAACAGTAATGGAATCAGTGTTCTTGTATCTAATCAGTTCATCAAAATGTTTGATTAAAGGATCCCATTTGGATATCTATCATCTTTGGCCCAGCCAGATTGTTCCTAAACATTTCAATTTCACCAAATACAGAGTTCACTCACATGAGAAGAGACTTTTAGAGTAAAATAGCAAAACTTGAATAAAAAGTAGAGAAACCCAAGAAAGAGAATGAGCTAATTGCATAGCAAATCATAATCATAATTGCATAGACTCCCTAAACTCAACTAGAGCTAGGAGGACCAGACCTAAATTCACTTGATCACTGCTAAAAGAACAGACTGATAGTAGTAATAACCAAAATAAAGAATGATCCCAGTGGGAATCGAACCCACGACCTTTAGATTCGGAGTCTAACGCGATATCCACTCCGCTATGGGATCACATTGGAGAACAAGTTGAGAATTCAAGCATGTAAAACCTATAACGTGACACAATCCGACAAGACGAATTTGGCACTTTCTCGTCGACAGAGACGGATTCAAAGGACCATCTCACACAGATGGCCGCCACAGAAACAAAACTCTGTCGCGAGAAACACAACTAAGAAGACTAACCAGATCATAAATCAAACACACTTGTCGGATCAGAAGATCTCTCAAGAAGAAATGCGTATATAGATTTTGAAATTAAGCGAGATTCACCGTTTTATCGGGACGGAATCGGTGGGAAAGGATGAGATCTCCAGGGACCAGAAGCGATTTGCAGAACAGAACAAGTATTGGATCTCACTCGGGGTTTCCTTGTCTGAGGGTTTTTATTTACAAGCCTGGCCCAATAACTTTTTTAATTACTTTTTAACAACGTTGTTTATTTATAATTTATGGATCAAATTATGTTTCTCTCTTGATTTTTTGTTTGTCAAGTTACATTCCCATGTCATCTCTCTTTTCAACTCCTTGTGTCTTCTCTGATCAGATAGTGGCAGCCAAAATAATGACAAGAATTTAGTTGTTTTTAGATTACAAACGCACCGGTTAGATTCACACTAATCACATAACCATTTCAAAGGCAAAACATTCGACACCCAAAAGGCCAAAAGCCTCTAATCTCTAGTTCTCTACACAACACAACCCCCCTAATTGGTTTTGTTCCTGACTGTACAAAAGCTGAGCTCCAAGAAAAATAAAATTTCCGGAGCTGCAGCCTCGGTTCATGACTTGTTTTACACACAGAGCATAAGAGAAGGAAAAAAAAGCTTCAGTTTGTTAGCCCAAAAAATGACATGCCAGCAGAAACTCACTGTTTCTGTAAGTTCCTTAAAGCCGCGCCATTCCCGCAGAAAAAGGAGAAGGCGGGATGAGTTATATCACATTTCTGTTGATCCGTTCGGCTAACTCTTTACTATCAACACCTTTCTTCAGAACCTTCAGATCTCAACCAAAACTCAGGAAAGATTCAATACCACAGAGTGCAAGATAGCCAAAGTGATGTCAGATAAACTCACATTTGACTCTGTCACACACGTAGCCATATCTGAATTTCACTTACCGAATCTGCTACTTTCAGCTACGAGTCCAGTATCTATGAATTGTCTTTTACTTTCACGAAATTCTCTTCCATCTTTTTCTTACGGCAGGAAGCGGATAATTAGGGTGGTGCTAAAGTAACTCTCTAAGATTTTCTGATACTGAGGAACTTACATAAGCCATATATAAGAAACTGGAGACTTATGAGAACCATGATTTCATAGCTCGTTTGATAGCTGAAGTATACCACACATCTGCAGATATGGATTCTCCAGCAGTTTCTCATTATTGCTCTGCACAAAACAAAAATACTATCAATGTGGATCATTATTACATATTTGTGGTTCTATGACTCTACACTCTGAATTCCCAAAGCATTACCTGCTGAGCCTTAAAGACAAGCTTCTGAAGCATGTTTTGGTATTTCTCTGGTTCCTCCGTCATCATCCTCTGAAATAATTCAAATTTTAACCGGTGAGCCAAAAAAATATTTGGAAACTTATTAATCTTCCCATGTATGTCTTTCCAAAATCAAAATGGTAAATTTGAAAAATCCTCTTGCCTTCAGAAGAAATGCTGAAGAGTAATAAGCCACCCTTGAATCAGTATCATCCAGGAGTTCCCTGTATAGATAAACATAAGTTAATGCCATGAAACATGTTGCAAAGATAGATCATAAATCATTTGGGTTTGGAAGTATGGAAGAGTCAATCAATTACCTAAAGAACTCCTCTCCGCCAACTTCTTGAAAAGCAATTGTATCAGCGGTGCATTTACCAATCAGAAGTAATAGCAGGGTGGCTCGAATATCAGAGGTTGCACCTGGAATATTTCCTCTACCTTTGCTTCCAACGGCGACACCAAGTGCGATGTTGTCAGTTGCTGCACCTGCTAGTTGAATCAATGGCCAATAAAACAAAGCCGCTGGCACACGCGCAACCAGCTGCATAGGAACAATTGCCTGTCCTCGAAGAAGCATCGCTGCCATTGATGCTGTCTCGCACGTTGAAACAGAGACATTGTTGTACCGAGGCCTGGTGTCAGCTTCATCCATACTTTCTTTATAGCTGTTACGATGAGAAGAATCAAATTTCCTATCTGCAGAATTGGGGACTGCATCCTCGTCAGTAGACAAAACTTTCAAGCACAATTGCGAGAAAAGAATGTCACACATCTGCTTGGAAACAACAGAGAAAAGACACAAGTGAAATTAAACTTCATCTGGGTGAAAATTTCAATAAGAGAAATAGACAGAGTTATCTTATGCCAGTTACTCGACAAGAGAACAGCATTTACTATATATATATATCAGCAAGCTTTAGAGTTTTGGTAGGATATTTGACAAACAAAAAGATTCTAAGAAATGCACCTTTAAGATATTAATCCGGTCAGTTTCATTTATTTGTGCCATCAAAGACAAAGCACTGCTCATTATGTCTATGACAGCATTTGCTTTCTCTAGTCGTTTGTCTTTATGATCCTGAGAAGCAACTCCACCAGTTGATCGTTGGGTCTCATTCTCATCTAGTAAGAACTTGGAGCGCATAAGAAGCCTCTCCAGAATGAATAGGAAACCCCATCTGATAACACTGTTTCTTGACTTCAAGAGTCCACATAGAAGATGTATGGAAACAGGTACATCAGAAGTAACCAGAGAGTCTGAGGTACCACAATGGGCAATCTTTTGTTGAAGATCTTTTATGCTCAGCCATATACTTCCACTGCTCTCTTCACTAATTTCTGCAATCAGAAGATCCCCCAACCAGATATATCCATTTTGACGGTATGTGGTCCTTTCTGAATGAAGAAGGGAGTGCAAAGTAGCCCAAGCTAGATTCACTGACATGCTTATATCGTTTCTTAAATCTCTAATGCTTTCCATGTACTTGGAAGATTTGGTTATCTGTTTGAGATGCAGGAACTCTTTGTCCAAGTGAGTAAACGAACCTATTATCATGTCAAACTTTTCTGTTATATTTGCCAAAAGCTGCAAGAAAGAAAAGTTAAAGAGTTAGAAAAGAGCTTTGACTGGCAAACAACATAATCAAAGACTCTTTTCCAGATCCTCAGAAGACCATTAGCAACATATTCTACCAAGAATAAACCTACCTGGTTAAGTCGTTCGCTGTTGCTGAACCCAGACAATGCTGCAGCAATTGATCTTCGCAGGATTTCCCCTATGCCTTCAACACCAAGCTTAACAGAAATGTAGAAAGCTTCAGGTGCATCCGCAAGAGCAAGCCGAACAGCCAAAGGTTGAATCTCATCATCAGTGTACTCAGAAAGACCAGCAGCTGAGCATGCCTCATTAATTTGATGCAGGACATAGTCAAATAAAACCGAGTAGAGATTTCTTCTTTCCTCTCTAGTGGTTGCCAAAGAGTACTGTACCAATAAATTGAATCCCTTAATATACTAGAAAACTATTGGGGCTCGAATTGTCTATTTGGATAATTTTGAGAAAGATCATTCAGTCTAATAGACTAGATTTCGTAGTACCTCAAAGAAAATGTATTCAACACCACCAATCAGATCGACCTGGTCGATAAGAAAATTTGAGGCACTTGAAATTGCTTTGGTAGAGCCCTCTGGTTCTGGAGATCGATAAAACATATTCGTCATGATACAAATAAGCTTGGAGTGAACAACTTCTGACCAAGAATTCCTTTTGCTAGTTCCCAGAAGAGCTTTAATAACCTGATTCAAGGAAAGTAACTGGCTCATCAGCAAGTACAACTTGGTTGAGAACCAATTCAATGGTAACATGCTGCTGGAAACATAAATCATGGTTACCTAGGTCTAAAAAACAAAGAGAAAGGACAGATCCAAATTGAAATAGGAGGAGCATGAAAGAAGAAGAATCCACATAGCAGAGGGCAAAGATTATATTCAGCCTCATAATACTAACGTACCCTTATGTCAAGACCATTTAGCTGGTTTCTCCGTATTTTGCCTCTATCACAGATAAAATAGAGCAAGCAGCTGAGGGCAGAGGCCCAAACACATTCTTCCTTTTCCTCAACCTACAAAAACAATTTTGAAGGTATAAAATCCCAAACAAGTCTAGTGTAGACGTCAAGCAAAGAAGCAAGAAGAGAGTAAAACACCTGAACTAGGAGAAGAAGTATTTCAAATAAGATTTTCAATATCCAAGACTCAAAGTTCTCAATAGCCGAAGAAGTGCTTGACATCTTCGGCAAGTCTTTCGTTCTTGTCCCTTGTAGCAGAAGCCTATTTTCATTGTCGATATATGTTTCTTGGGCATATTCTTCTTCAATGGTTGTCGCATTATCACTTATCATTGGCTCTAACAATTGCGCATGAACTCCTAAATTAAGAATTAAATCAAATACACGAATCCTACAACCTGCTTTTGTGGAGCATAGCATTTCCTGAAATTAATTTGCATGCATGGCTAGAAAAGTTAGTAGCAGTATAAATATCATGATAATATATCTGAGTGTCGAAAGTCACACCTCAAGCATGGATAGAGTAAGAGGAGCAGCAATTCTAGCGTCCAATACATACCTAAGAAAACAGGTTTTGCAAAACGGTTGTACCATAAGCTTGTCAACAGTTATAAAGGAAGGAAAGAATGATTAAAAATCTTAATGAAACAACACGGTTAGGTTGGCAGCAGATTAACGAACTACATAAGATAAGAAACATATTACAAAATAAAGTGCTTACATGTCGATAACAAGCTTAATTAGGACGCTCACAGCCACATCCATCGACGGCTTTCCAGTCTTGCTCGTTAATTGGGGTGATACAGTCATTTGATTTGAAGGGGTGGATGATGCCTCAGAACAAACAGCAGCGATCACCTCACCTACCTCGGCAGGGTTTAAGCGCAGTGGTTGTTGTTCACTGCCAAAGCATGCAGGGAACGAGAGTGATTTGTTGTGATGAATGTGAAAGCTAAAATTGTGCATCAGAAATATGATCCAAAGCAGAGAATCCCCTTTCATTGCAACAGATACAGTTATTTATGCAAACGAGGTGATTAAACATCCACATGCACAATAGTGGAAGAGCCACTGAAACCTCTTATAAGTCGGAGTGAAATAAAATATATAGATCGTATAGAGTTTATTCAACTGCAGTTCTTTGTCAGTTCGCTTACCGATGTGATCCTTAGAAAGGCTAGCATTAGGCATTATGGTAAATGTTCAAAAGGGCAATCATATTACAAGCTATTACGCAAAACCTTATTAACATTAAAGCTATTAAGATAGACGCAGCCAAAAAATAAATGAGTGACATTAAGGAAATGGAGAAAACAATACCTGTAATGACGGTACTGAAAAAGCGGTCTGGCACGTGGACGAAATGTGTTTACAGTGGAATCATCCCTGCAGATCATGCAAATCCTCAATCTAAGAACTCACATTAACTTTCAAAATAGATTTTTAATATAAGAATTTGCACAAAACATCATTCTCTTTAGGTACAATCATTTCAAAGTGCAGTCCCTGTATCTATTCTAAATTGCACCATTTACGTGAAAAATCTGGAAATGACATTCTATAAGTGGTAGAACAGTCTCTAAAAATGCGGAAGGGATCATAAGCTTTTTTCTAATTTCCAAAACATAAAAGAACAAGATGCTATATGAATCAACTCACCCAGTGCCATTTTAGAAACTGCCCTTAGTTAAAAAAATGAAATTCATTTTTTTGCGTCTACAGCTTTATCACAATTAACAGATGGCATCTGGTCTAGAGGAAATAATTATAAGTTTATAACACATATTGAAATCTAGGATTCCAGTTTCTTGGTGGCTAAAAAAGAGCCATGAGAAAGCTTGCAAGGCATAAAAGGCAAGTATAATCCTAAGCCATCAGTTTGCAAATTACTTCAGAAAAAACACATTAGAATACATACCAGATCTGCTGAGGGCCAGCTCTGGTGCGTTTGGAAGCTGTTATTGCTCTCAAGTGGGAGCGAGCTGAGGCAGAGTTTGTTATCATCGTGACTGAAGCTGGCTGCAGCAGTTGCTCTAAATAAGGCATCTCTGTGGTACCAAAATATTTCCAGTGCTGACCCTTCATTTTAGCTTCCATATCTCCTACAAGCAGGCCGGCAGCACCAACTTCCAGAAGATTACAATTGTTCATGTCTTGGAGATTAATAGGGCGTTCGCTAACCATGCAGAGAAAATGTTCAACGATAGTCAAATTACTTAAGATATTAATTGATTGAGTGTTTGTTTACGAAGGTACATGAGTGTACAGTCAAGAAAAGAAGCAAAGATGCGTTTGAACATTTGTAAGAACCAAAATCATGTACAATGTACCTTTCAGAAGAAGCTGATGATAACTGGAGCTCCCCAACCCAACGCCAATTCAGCAAGTCTGACGATATGTATTCAGTGTCTTCCATAGCATTAATTTCTTGTATATTTGACAAGTTTGAAACAGACAGATTTGCAGCATCCTTTTTCTGTGGAGATTCTGCGGCATTTGCAGGACTTAATTGGGAATTGAATGATTTGCTCAACAAAGAAGATAGAGATGGCAATAACTGTCTTGACGCAAGAGTAGCTCCTGCAAATGCTGCAGGTTGGAAGGATCGCCTTGGGATATGTAAAGCCACAAGGGAACGCACATAATGCAATGACTTCACCAGAGCTGCAGAAGCAAAACTGGACACTGGTAAAGGAGAAGCACCCGCTGATGCTGATAAAACAGGCAATGATTTTTGCTTCAAGCTAGCATCGCACTCAGCAATCAGGTTCACGCAAAATTTATCGACCTGCAGTAGTGTCTCCTCGCCAGGCTTATATCTGTAGTGTAGGAACACCTAGGGATCATTATTATTTAAAAATCCATTGAAAACATTGGAAGACCTGTATACATTTTGCAGACAAACCTCATAAAATAGCAAAAAAATTGCACACTTAATCTCTAGGTTTGAACAGCCATTATGTCTACTTCATATAAAACTGATTTACTAAATAATTAACCAAACATAGTGTTCCCCTTAAACAGAGCACAAATTATGCTTATAGTGAGACAGATGAGCTTAGGACATTGACGAATGACAAGTGAAGAGATGCTAGTTCAACGAAGTATATGAAAACAATTAAGGTACATCCTTCAATTAGAAATTTCACCTTAAGAGATACCGTTTCAGTAGTGCCACACACCTCGTAACCACAGCTGGGCTGCAGAAAATTGATTGAACATTAGCAACAACTAATATTTAAACCGTGCTACTTGAGAAATAATTAGATTATAGCAATCTGCATCCTAGCTAAATCAGGTTATATATTCAACAATATGTCCACCTAGAAATAAGCCCTCAAGTACTTTAACAGTCAACCTGGGCTGATGATATATATCTATGCAGGGACTTTTCCGACTTTGTTCGCTTACTGCTAGGAGTCCTTCCCCACACAGGCACACACTTCTACCTAAGACATCTGTTCAGCTTATCATTTATTCTACAAACGCCTTTGAGTATTATTCTTCATAGTTAAACCACCAAGTGACTTACAAAACTAATTTTGTGTTCAAATAGATTTATAGAAAGCTATCACTATCATATTTTATTTTCTTTTCGGATCAAGCTACAATGACAATATCCACGTATTTATATTTGTCTTTACGTCATCCCATATTCTGGTCAAAATCTCCCACTTATGCTCCAGTTTGCACATCATTAGGAATCAAATTAATGAGCTCTTTCCCTTCACTCAAATTTTTATGAGTTCAGGCCTTCCAGATTTAAAAGACATTTTATTTCAATGAATTCTCAAACTCAATCCTATAATACAGTTTCACTACCAGACTTGCGAGTGTTACCAAAGGACCGAACATACATGTAGCCAGTCCAAACTATGATTTAAAAGAGTCAAAGTTTCACAGTATGATGAAAAACATATGAAGTACGAATCAATTACCTGCGATCTCTCTCTGCTATAGTATGCTCTAACAGCATGTTGTAGGCCAGGTCAGTCGTGGCGGAGGCTGATAGATAATCCTGTAATCACCAAGTGATTGTGTGAGTTCATGCAATTCACTAAAGATGGAGATCAAATATTTCCAATCGACTACAAAGGTCCCCTAATAAGCGAAAGAAAATAGATAATGAAAACGGGCTTCTCCATCACATATCTCTCTACCCAAATCTTCATCCACATGAGGCCTCAAATGCAATGGCTACTAGAACAAAAGGAGTAATGTGCGGGATATAGCACAAAGGTCTTGACAAAACTAAAACATGGAAACTAATACCAAAATAGAATAGAACATTTCCAGCTCTAAAATCAATTACGACGCCAACACTACTCAAAGAAAGCGCAAATGTAGTCACTGCTCTCTTCTTACTATTCGTTTACGCCGCATAGAACTCATATAACAGTGGAAATCAAAAGCCCTAGATACTCAATTCCTCTCTTTACACAATCATAGAACAGGATCAATTTTACCTCAAATTAAACGCAAAAAATGGAAACACAAAGACGAGAGATAATTCCATTTCACAATAAGGAAAATAAACCACGCATAGCGTAAGTGTTACACACCCGGAGATTCCTGAGAGCTTCCGACGGAGCCATGGAAGGGATCGCGCCATGGTGCGAATTAACCGGAGGAGGAGACGATGAGAGGCAGTCCGCCACGGCTCGACGTAGTGGCTCAGGGGGCTTCTTGGAGGAAGAAGATCTAAGGCGCGAGGCAGAGCCGGCAGCGCCCAGCTGCAGCAACCGGGAGCTTCCGGGGCTTTGACCGGGGCTAAAAGAGGAAGACATGAATCACAAATCTCGCCGGAGCTGCGCCACTCTTGCTGGGAGAAGTAAAAGACTTTTTTCGATTTGGGTTATGTTGCTGCTGGCTAACGTCGTGTCCTTCACATCACACAGATGAGCTGTCAAAGCTTCTTCGTTTTGAATCCCATGGTGGAATCTAAATCACGGAGACATGGTTTTTGCAATCTGGTCCCCCTTGTTCTACCATTTCCTAGATTCAGCATCATATATTCTTTTATTCATATATAGGTTCAAAATCCCGATGAGATCTGCATTTTTTTAACATGTGGGGAAGTAGTAATGATGATGACTTTGGCATTGTGATATTTTACAATTGGATTTGAGAGAAATCGGTCAATTCATACATATATTATGTTTTACAGTTACCATTCGGACATGAATTATAGTATCGTGCAAATTCATAAAAGTACCATTATAATTGGTCAATTCATACATTCAAGGGCAACTCCTGCTTTTGTGTAGACATCAAAATGTTTTCAGAAGAGGTCCAAAGGAACTCTACGGTGAATTTTAGCTAGAATCTATAGTTTTGACTGTAACAGTGTTAGATTAACACGTAAACGGTTGATTGACTCGGATGGCATGTTAGCCTCTACAGTGGTAGCTGACGTTAGTACAATATCTTTGGAGATTATGAAGTTCATCTCCGAAACTCGAAAAGATTGGTTGTTGGATGTTTCACTTGAAATACCTAAACAAACTAAAGAAAATGTATGAATCTTTGATAAGCTCGCGAATCAATATAAAAAGTGGGCCCATAAACCGAAAAACAAAAGAATGGGCCCAATAAGATGTCCCATAACCCACGTGACATGCTGACTGTGCCGATCCGTTCATCACGCTCACGGTTTGCTCCTTCCCCCAATGGCCCGAATAAAAGAAAAAATTGTTATTACATTTTTTTTCTTCTTCTCTATTCTTTGTTGACCCACCCAACAAAAAAAACAAAAAAAAAATACAAATCTGTATCTCTCAGTCTTTGATCCTAAATAGCTAGACTCAACCAAACCCTAGATCTAACCCCAGCCGTCAGATCAGATTGATCGGGCAATCGCTTCTAGACCGTTGGAATCAAGCAATGGTAGAGGTAGAATCGTATTTGTGGGTATCTAGAAGAGGCGTTAGGATTGTCTCGAATTTGGGTGTTTTTTCATCTTGATGGCCAACAAGTCGAATCTCCTCCTCTAAAGATATTTTTATTTATTTCGGTCATGTGTGATTTGGTCGCGCGTACGGGTCGGCTCCAGCAGCGGTACGAGGATGGCTCTCGTCTCGTAGCCGGGTACCGTTTTTTTATCCATCCTTCTTGTTCCTTTTTTTCTCTTTTTGTTTGCGTTTGTATCGCCTCTTTGGAGCTGCTGTTTTGGTTACGTAATGTGAATCTTTCTTCGTTTATTCGAAAATTGTGGGTGCGATTGATTAAGACAGGTGTAAGTAAATGCTGGGGATTTGTTTTCATGGGTCTCTACGTATCCCTGTATTGAAGTGATTGCTATCTTCGAGATTAATTGGGCATTTTCGGTGTTATGTTTGTTTAAATTTTAGAATTGCAAAACAAGAGTCATGATTGAAGATTTTTTTGTCTTAGAGTCATGCTTTGACAAGAGGATTTTGACATGCTTAGACCTTGTTTTGATTGTAATGGCCATTTATCTGATCTTGGTTGATGACCATGTCTGTGTAGCCTTTACCTGTAGTTTTTGTTTCCGGAGACCTTGCTTAACAAGTTCATTGTCGGGCGTTTGTAGGTGTATTCCATTTAGGTATATAAATTCTGACAAAGATGGTAATTCTGAATCTGGGAAAGTGATTCAAGTGTTGATGATCAGCTCGTCTAGTGGACCGGGACTTTTGTTTCCCAAGGTACAAAGCAAATGCTGTTTCTTCTTGCTTTTTCCTTTGTTTGGAAACGAAGTAACATAATCCGATTCACGGAATCATGTAGGGAGGATGGGAGAATGATGAGACAGTCAGGGAGGCTGCAGTGAGGGAAGCAGTGGAAGAAGCAGGTGTCCGTGGGATTCTAATGGTAAAGCTTTTCCGCACACCGTGTAATGTAGCCCTTTGTTATTGTTTAAGCCTGGTGCTGAGAATGTGGTAAAATTTGGTATTTTGCAGGATTTTTTGGGAAATTATGAGTTCAAGAGCAAAACACACCAAGATGAGTTTAGCCCAGAAGGTTTATGTAAAGCGGCAATGTACGCATTGTATGTGAAGGAAGAGCTAGAGACGTGGCCGGAACATGAGACGAGAACACGGAAATGGCTGACAATTGAAGAAGCGGTAGAGAATTGCAGGCACGCTTGGATGAAGGATGCATTGGTTGAAGGATTCTGTAAATGGCATAAGGAGAAGATGGATAAAGGAGAGGAGATAACAAGTGAACATTGAAGCAAGTGTGCATAAACCTCTGAGGGTTGGTTTCATTTCTTTCGATTTTGTTTTTACTTCTTCTTCCTTTTTATTTTTTTTATTAAGTCTTATGCATGGAGAATCTGTGACTGCGAAACATAAGAGTTTCAAAGTTTTAAAATTCAATTATTTTCCTGTTTCACACAGCTGTCTTCATCATTTTCAGTAATTATGAAAAAAGACATCTCTTGAGCCTTGACAAATCCCGATTGATAAATGATAATAAAACAGGATTAAGAAATTGTTAACCTTTTTTCAAAGAATTATTTGCTTGTACACTTAATACTATTTAGTAGTACTAGGTCGAAACCCGCGCTCCGCCGCGGGATAGTTTTTGAATATTATTTTTGTTTTAATATAAGTATAATTTATACAAATTTAAAAGAGTTTTAGGATTTGTTCTGTTATCTACCGTGTGATATTTTTTGAAATTAATTTTGTTTTAATATAAATATGATTATTATAGATTTAAAAGACTTCTAAAATTTGGGTTTTTATTACTTTTTTTTGGGACTTTAGTATATTCAGTTTGCTATTTTATTTTATATATATACATACATTTATAAATACATGTTATATATTATTTTTACAAAATTAATATATTGTATTACCCTACATATCAATATTTATGTATAATGCACGTGTTTACACAATATTTCACCTAATGTATTCAAACTCTCAATGTCATATATTCGTTTGTGTATTTTATTTTGTTTATTGTTTTCAATAGTTTAATTTTACTTTAAGAAAAAAAACAAAAGACTTATTTTATTATAAGAGCAAAAAAGAAAAAGAGTGAGAGTAAGAGAAAAACAAAAAGATAATTTGGAGCCTATTTAATACTATCTTTTTGTGCTAAATTTGTGATCAGAGGATAATGGTTTGTGGTAAAATTACTTCTCAGGATTAATTTTGATTTTTATGTGGTTAGATTTTGTAGTTATAATTATAGTCTCTATTTCAATTCTTAGTTTTTTTTTTTGTAGTTAATAAAAATTTAATCACCCAATTTTATATATTTTTTGTTGCTAGAAAAGTTATTTATTTCTCTTTTGTTATTTTTGTAAAATATAACTCTTTTGAATAATAGTTCCATTTATGTCAAAGTACAAATACATATTTTTAATTTAATTTGGTTTTGTGTTATTCTTGGCTAACATTGATTTATATTTTATTTGTATTATATTTATATTTTATATGATGTATATAATAAGCTTTTTATAATATTATTATAAGATGTATGTGTTATAAGATGTTCTAATATTTAATATTTTTATACTTTTTATAAACACCTCATAATATAAACTTAGAAACATCTTATAATATTTTTTATAAGCTTTTATAGCTTTTACAATATTTTTATATAATATGTATATGAGTTTATACAATATTTATAAGATGTTTTAAAGCTTTTTACTTATAAAACACATATACATCGTTATAAAAAACCTTATATGATTTCTGTAAGCCGTTTTTATCAAATGTTTTATAATAATATACGATTTATGTAAATGTGTTTTATAAGTTAAATTGTAAGGCTTATGTAAATGTACTTTTTTTATTTTTTAAAGCGTAATTGATTTATTAATTTATATTAAATTTAAGCTATAATTTTAAACCTTTGTTTTTAGAAAATATTAATATAATGTGTATTTTTAAATATTTTTTTAATATAAGTATAATTTGTAACAATTTAAAAGATTTCTAAGATTTGGTGCTTTATCTATACTTCGGAATATTTTTAATATTAATTTTGTTTTAATATAAATATGATTGGTATAGATTTAAAAGACTTCTAAAATTTGAGTTTTTACCTTTTATCAGATTTTAGTAGATTTAGTTAGCTATTTTATTATACATATACATACAAATATTAATAAATATATGCTATATATTACTTTTACAAAATGAATATATTGTAGAGAAATTGTTAAAAATGCCCCTTTTTCAATACCCCTTTTCAAAAATGCCCCTTTTGAGAGTCCATTTTTAAGTTTGCCTTATTTTAGTTTTTAATGACTATTTTACCCTTATTTGAAATAAAATTAGGTCCACAAAATACAAAATATTTTTTGGCGGGAAAAGTGATCCTGCAATTTTCCCGCCAAAACACTTGTAAAAACCTTTAAAATACCTTGTAAAATTTTCCCGGGAAAAATTTACAAAGTATTTTAAAGGTTTTACAGAGTATTTACAAGTGTTTTGTAAGGTTTTACAATGTATTTTAAAAGGTTTTACAAGGTATTTATAAGGTTTTATAAGGTATTTATAACTTGTAAAACCTTATAAAAAACTTGTAAAACCTTATAACTTGTAAAACCTTATAAAATAGCTTGTAAAATCTTATAATATCTTATAGATACGTTGTAAAACCTTTTAAAATACATTGTAAAACCTTATAAATACCCTGTAAAAAACCTTTAAAATACCTTGTAAATTTTTCCCGCCAAAAATTTAACGGCAAAAAAATTGCGGAATCACTTTTCCCGCAAAAAAATAATTTTGGCGGGAAAAAATTTTACGGGAAAATTTTACAAGGTATTTTAAAGGTTTTTACAAGTGTTTTGGCGGGAAAATTGCGGGATCACTTTTCCCGCCAAAAAATATTTTGTATTTTGTGGACCTAATTTTGTTTCAAATAAGTGTAAAATGATCATTAAAAATTAAAAGAGGGCAAACTTAAAAATGGACTCTGAAATGGGGTATTTTTGAAAAGGGGTATTTAAAAAGGTGCATTTTTAACAATTTCTCTTGTATTATCCCTCCATATCAAAATTTATGTATTATGCATGCGTATACTCAACATTTCATCTAATGTATTCAAACTCTTAATGCCATATTTTCAAGTGTGTATTTTATTTTATTTATTTTATTTTTTCAGTAGTTTTATTTTACCTATAAAAAAAAAAACTCTTATTTTGATACTTTATTTATTTTATGACGATATATCATACGATACATATTGATACTTAATTTATTTTTAAAAATATGATTTTAATTTTTTGGAATTGGATTAATCATAAAATAAATGAAGTATCAAAATAAGAACATCAAAACTCTTAAGAAATTGGATCTTACTACAAAAAGATAATTTGGAGCCTATTAAATACTATCTTTTTGTGCTCAATTTGTGATCAGAGGATAATGGTTTGTGGTAAAATTACTTCTTAGGATTAGTTTTAATTTTTATGTGGTTAGATTTTGTAATTATAATTATAGTCTCTATTTCAATTCTTAATTTTTTTGTAGTTTATACAAATTTAATCACCCAATTTTATATATTTTTTGTTGCTAGAAAAGTTATTTATTTCTCTTTTGTTCTTTTTGTAAAAAAATAAAATATAACTCTTCTGAATAATAGTTCCATGTATGCCAAAGAAAAAATACATGTTTTTAATTTAATTTGGTTTTGTGTTATTCTTGGCTAACATTGATTTATATTTTATTTGTATTATGTTTATATTTTATATATATACTATTTATTATAATTATATTTTATTAATATAATACTTATGTTGAATTGCATACTATAATTATTATATTTGGTTAAAATTGTATTTTCTAAAGCATAATTGATTTATTAATTTATACTAAATTTAAGCTATAATTTTAAACCTTTGTATTAGAAAATATTAATATAATGTGTATTTTTTAAATATTATTTTGTTTTAAAATAAGTATAATCTGTAACAATTTAAAAGATTTAAAAGATTTGGTGTTTTATCTATACTTCAGAATATTTTTAATATTAATTTTGTTTTAATATAATATTGATATAGATTTAAAAGACTTCTAAAATTTGAGTTTTTACCTTTGATCAGATTTTAGTAGATTTAGTTAGCTATGTTATTATATATATACAAATATTAATAAATATATGCTATATATTACTTTTACAAAATGAATATATTGTATTATCCCTCCATATCGAAATTTATGTATTATGCATGCGTATACTCGATATTTCATCTAATGTATTAAAACTCTTAATGTCATATTTTTCAAGTGTGTATTTTATTTTGTTTATTTTATTTTTTCAGTAATTTTATTTTACCTATAGAAAACTTATTTTGATACTTTATTTATTTTATGACGATATATCATACGATACATATTGATACTTAATTTATTTTTAAAAATTTGATTTTAATTTTTTGGAATTGGATTAATCATAAAATAAATGAATTATCAAAATAAGAACATCAAAAGTCTTACGAAATTGGATCTTACTAATTTTTGGGCTTTCACTTTGCAAAAACGAAAAGATAATGACCGGGAGTGTTGTTGTAGTAATTTAAATTGTAACACATTTTTTTTTCATCGATTCACTTTCGTTTTGATTTTCTTTAATATTTAAAATCAACAATGGGTTAAAATTGAAATATATAAAAGTTACAAATTAAGTTGGAGGAATCGAAACAGATAAGACAATGAGAGACTGTGAAAACAAATCTAGAATATACAAATAGATGTTTATTTGGTTTTGTTTTTCTTTTAACAAAATTAAAAATAAATAAATTATTATTAAAAAAATTGTAGTGTATATGGTTTAATTTAATTTGATTGGCTATAATTTTAATGAGGTATTTTTTTAGTGAAAAACTGATGTAGCAAGATGGAGAGATGATGTGTATTAATTGAAATGTTTTGATTGGTTTGTCTTTTTAATGATGTGTCAGCTCCAGAATATTGATGTGTCAGATGCTAGATGCTGGAGAGTTCCTAGTGTTTTTATTGTATTGATTTAGCTGGTATTAACATAATTCATTTCTCATGTAATTATAACTCTAGTGAGAATAGTATGGGTGTTGTGTCGGAATGTATGTAATGATTTTATTAACATCTTAAACACACAAAAAGCCTAGTTCTTAAAATTGAAGTTCTATAACGTTGCTTTTAATATTACATTCGGAATCATTTTACATAAACCGCAAAGCATATTGGATCGGTGTACCTGTCCGTTGCCAGTAGTAGAACATATATTAGCTGTGAAAACTAAAATCTGAAAAGTAAATGAAAAGTAAAATATCACAAGTTTGATACAGCGAACAAGAGCAACAGCAACAAGAAACCCGGTTCAGTTAAACCGGAACCATATCCTTGTTATTAACATAACGTCATCAAAGGGCCACCGCAGAGACATTGGTTGTCACTAAACGACGTAGCTTCAAGGTGATCAAAAGGAGAACCCGTTGGGATACGCCCACAAAGCTTGTTATGGCTAATATCCAAATGTCCCACAAACTTAGCTGACGACAACGAATCCGGGATCCGACCCGATAGACTATTGTGCGACAAATCAAGCGAAACCAAATACGTTTTTGACCCGAAAACGTCGGGTATAGATCCTTCCAACGCATTTCGGCTCAAATTCGCAACATCTAAACCGGAATTGCTAAGAAGCGAACCGGGGATTGGACCGGTTAACGAATTGCAATCGAGATTCAAAAGTGAGAGTACCTTCATGTTACCCATCCATTCGGGTATCGGACCTTCGATATGGTTCCTGGATAGATCCAGATCCACTAACCGTTCCATACCCGAGATCGACTCTGGTATTGACCCGGTTAGTTCGTTACGGCCCATTAAAACTCTGCTCAGCATCTTCAACGATCCGAAGTCGGCCGGGATCACGCCGGTGATTCCGTTTTCCGTCAATTCAAGATGCTTCAACCCGACGAGTGATGTCAGCAACGACGGAATCTCGCCGGACATCTGATTCTCCGCGAGGTTTAGAACTGCGAGTTTTGAGAGTTTGCCAATTTCCGCGGGAATCTCTCCGGTGATCTTGTTGCCGGCGAGGTCGAGGATACGGAGCGAAGCCAGGGAGGTTACGCACGGAGGAATCTCTCCGGTAATTCCCTTCCAGTCGGCGAGGACGAGGGAAGTGAGTGCGGTTAAGTCACAAACCGCTGGATCAATCGAACCGGACATATAACCGGAGCGGCCTGCCTTTTGGAAAATGGCGTCTTCAGATTCTCCCCGGAGAGAAATATCAGTGACCCGACCCGAATCAGGATCGCAGCTAATACCGTACCATTCCTTGCAACAATCAGTGTTTTCAGACCAAGTGTTAAAGATGCCTAGGTTTGGTTCGCTCAGTGATGACTTGAAAGCATTGAGAGCCGTCTGATCTTCAGGAGAGCAGCATCGGACGACGGAGATGACGGAAATGAAAACTACGGCAAGTAATGAACTAAACGGCGATGCCAACAACTTTCTCATTTTTAAAATAAATGTTTGATATTGAAGAGAGTGGTTTTGTGTAATGAGTCTTTGGATTATATAGAAACGTAGAGATGCAAGAAAAGGAGAGAGACATTTGCATGTGCATGGTATCATGGGCATGTGCATGTTACTACTATTGTTCTATATATTATCTTATGAATGTATTCTTATACCTTTAATCTATTGTACTAAAGAGGAGGATCATGTGTGTATGTCAGTTTTTACTTTTTTAAAAATATTTGATTAATCGAGTATCCAACCATGATCCGGTAATATATAAGTTAATCATGTTGATTTGTTTCAACGGTAATATGTTGATTTTCATGGACATGTAAGATGTAACTAATAATGCTTATATATACAAAGATATTCTACATGGACATGTAACATATGCATATTCCTAAACGTATTTATACAAAGCTTTAAGATCAATAATGCACGGATTATGGAGCATGAAATTCCTATTTCCTAAGGTTTATTGCCATATTACAGCAATGATCGTGATTTCAAGTTTACTGAAACGCCAAAACTTCACATCATTAAAATCTTTATATGACTAATTATGATTGATAATTTACCAATTATTAGAGACAGCATTTAATAAACCAAATATGGTTGGTCCTCCATAAATACTTTTACATGTGACTCATGTGGTCCTACTACAGAAACAGAACTACAGAAGCATTTAAGCATCTCCCTGTCCAAAGTCCAATCTTTGATTTTTTTAATTTCCCTAAATTTCTTATCCCAAACCTATCATTGTTAAAAATCCTTACATTTGATTTAATTAGTTTAATTATAATATTTGACTTGTAACATTTTTATTACTATTTCACATAAAACTTTGTTGAGAAGTGAATCTATTAGGGTCGAAAAAAACTGTCGTATGTCATGAATCTAATAGGATCGAAAAAAATTGTCAGTGGTAAAATCTTCTATCTAACAGTTTTTATAATTTACAATAAATAATAAACCAGACCTTAAAAAAAATCTTGTTGAGAAAATAATGTTATTATCAAAATCATTAGAGCTTTATTCCAGCTTTTATGATTTTCAGTCGCGTTGTCTTGGTTAGGACATGATTCAACGCCCATCACATGCTCAGGCCCATCACATGCTCAGGGGTCAAGATCCCTTTTACTGGAGCTGTCTTTTTTTATTTATGTATTAGTAAGAATTTTCCATGTCCTTCTCATAACCAAAACATAATTTCAATCATAACAATAGTAATCCATTTGTAAAATATAAGTTTTGTCGCTTTATTTCCAAATGAATTCAAATTCGATGAAAAGCATGTATGAAAATATAGATCATAAGATTTTTTTGTTTGTTTTCATTTCGATTTACTATTGCGTGAATTATTCGTGATTTTCTTTGACAAAAGAAAGAATTATTCGTGATTTTCTCAAGATCTTTTAGATAACTAGTGTCTACTTTTTTGGAACTATAGTAGGTTGAAATTTTTACTTGGAACTGTTGTCAATTATATTGTAGGTTTACTTTAATTTGTGACTGACAAGATCTTTTGAATTCTTAGGCCTTGGAAAGCAATGTTGTTTGTCTTTGACATAAAAGACGAATTTGTAGCAGTTCTGCATCAATTACACATTCGCTTATGTTTTTGTTAATACATTAAAAATGACAACAGAAGCAAAAATGGGTAGATGGAGGTAGTCAGTAGTAGAAATCTTTCCAACAAGTGACATCTCTTTATATTATCCATAATAAACTCAGTTTGCCAAAAGACCTATACATTGGATTCCAACTCTTCAATTTTTTTTTGGGATGAATAAAAAGCAGAGTTAAAAAGGAAATTTTTTATATAGAGAAAAAATAAGAAGGGACTTGAATTGCGCTTTGCAATGTGTTTATATATATATAGTGGATAATGTATATATAAAATATATATAGATTGTGGTGAGAGTTGAGTCAAGTGGAAGGTCCAGCCAAGTCACCACCACCTGAGATGGAGAGGAGAGGTCGGCGTGAGGTACTCCGACTGACGAGATGTGAATCAAGAAACACAACTATGACTGTTATATCATCATGAAAATGTCTCCTCACTCCTCTATCGATCTTTTTTAGATCCGAATATCTCATCTCTCTCTTCTTTGCTGCCTCTCTTAGAGCTGTTTTTATTAGCTTCCTTGCAATCCCCTGCACACCCACAGGTTCTCAATCTATCTATCTATTTGCACACAAAACGAAAGAAAGAAAGAGGGAGATAAAGAAAGAGCAAGAGGCAATCTTACATTGCGTGGGCATGTGTTCACAATGTCAACAGCTTCTTGATTGGTTAAGTGCTCCCACAAGCCGTCTGATGCAAATATAAGAAACTGATCCTCTGGATGGATTTTGTGTACTGTAATTGCTGGCTCTGCTCTAAGGATGGGCGTATGGAAAACCTCAGGGACTCTGAACTTTGCCAACAACGGTTCCCGGTTGAATTCTGCTTTCTTTAAGTAGGCATCACCAATCGACCGTGAAACCTTCAAGAACCAGCCACGGGTTATATCTAGCGAGAAATTCTCTTTATCTTCTTAAAGTGAGGATTCAGTAAATCTCTTCTTAGACACATAAATCAGGAGTCTTTTACATGCATAGGGCTTGACTGTATCTTTCACAGCCAAGCTACTAGCAAGAAAAGAGTCTAGAATTCAGCAACTCGCATTACCGTGAAAGTATTTTTACCTGTATAATACCTTTGACACGCCAAACTTTGTGCTTCAAGACCACAATCTGAGGATCATTTGGATGCAACGAGCGCAATTCCTCTCTCACAGATTCAAGACTTGCGTTGTGTTCAGACGATAACTGAACGGCCTTGACAATTTTAAACGCTTTTTCCAATCTTCCTAGAACAACCCGAGAATCTCCAGCGTTTGCAATATACAACAATCCACTGCATATGATCCCTACCAGACAACATGCTCCAACAGAAGCAATCTGTGGTTTAATTTGCCACTGCCGCCGCACAAGAGAAAGAAAATCTTCTTCCGTAGCTAAAAAAGCTTTGGTTATAACATTGGCAGACATCCCATGATTCTCTGATGTAAACTCTGCAATCAGAAAGTATCACAAAGTTGGCATATAGCTAATTCAGCAAAAAAAAATAGAATACAGGAGATGGAGAAGATAAAACCGCGTACTCCTGATGTTATCAAAGAGGTGTTTATTAACAAAACGGGCAGCTTCAGGACCTCCATGACCATCATAGACACCAACAAAAGTAGCTTGAGGACCAGAATCAAACATACTAACGGGTCCAGACTCAAGCTTGCTATGATCTTCAAGAAGATTATTAGCTTGAATGACAGACATAGAGAACTCTCCAGCAACATGGTTACCAGAATCTTTATACCAAAGAAGACCATCACATCGTCCATTAGCGTCATTTCTAGTAGAATGATCTCCCTTGACAGAAGGTCGCCTCCAACATGGTGCTACCATCCGCAAAATAGTTGCCGATGATACCATAACTCACATAATCCCCTCAATAATCAAATTTTTTTTCACTTCATCTATAAGATCACTAACACCCCCAAAAACGGAATCCAATCAAAATTTTGCTTATTCCTCCTTCCCTAAAACAATACGAATAACGAATACGAACCAATCAATCTACATTTGCGTCATATACACATACGAATTTTCTTCAAGGATCGATTTATAAATCAGACAATTACCTTTTGTGGAATCGCAAAAAAGAGCCGGGAAATGATTACCGTCCGACAAAACAAAACTGGAAAGTGGATCGAGATCGGAAGCAGGAGTTACGATAAGAGGGAATCGTAACTCCGGTTGGGTTACAGAGAGGAAGAGAGATGACGAGAAAGAGAAAAAAAAAAAACAAATCTAGCAGGCGACTCTGTCAGAATTTCCTTATTTGGGGGTTCGATTTCTCTTAATTTTCTCTCTTTTTAATTTTTTAATTTTTTTTTTTTTTTTTTCATTTGCTTTCGAGTTTAGCTGTTTAGGCATTTGACCTCAGAAACAACCCGACGTTTTAGGCAGCTTTTTCTCCCAAATTTAGCAACGTTTCTCCATTTTTCAAGAATACTAATTTATTAAAATACTACTACTATAATAAATAAATTTTTATTTATCTTTTCCATAATCTGAAATTCTGAATGAAACCAAAAATATGCAAAAAACAAAAGTACCAATTCGTAGTTTGTCCAATCATAAAATGATTCATCCGACTGGTTGAAGGAACAAAATTGAAATTTTCAACTGCTATTTGAATTATGGTTAGTTCATTTGACTTATCAAATGACGAAGATATTTAAACTTTTCTTGCATGTTGTAGAGATTAATTTCTATTTAAATTTATCATCCCATAAAAAATAGATGCATTTCGCGCAATACAATCCACTTCTGGGTTGTTGAATATGGTCAGGAAAACAAGACCATTTAAGCTCAACACCTTGGCTCAACATATACTTAAGATTTACATAAAAATAAAATAAAGTTAAGTCTGCAAATTGGCATGTTGACATGTTGTACGCGCAGCTTTACAACCTCACAGGTCGTTTTTTTTTGTGTGTTGACATTTTTAACCCGCAAAATCTTTTTTTTTTTTTTTAATTCCCTTAAGTAAAAATCTAACATGTCCGAACACGAACCAAACATAAACATACATGTGTTCGAATCTAGTTAACACAATAACACCTCTAGATACATGATGATGGTATACTTTTCTTTGGTGATTTTTTGTTGGGAGAGAAACAAAAATAAACAAGTTGGCCCATATTCCAGCGATTTTCCTTCTTTGATATCTCCCAATAATAAAAGTCATACTAATAAATTAGAGTATACTCAAAGAAAAATCAGAAAAATACCCCAAAAAGCAAAAATATGAAAGAGAAACAAATATGTTGTTGTCCGCTGTATGGCGTCATAACCCATTCTAGAATCATTGAAATGCATATTTAATCCTCTGGTAATTCCACAAAAGCGATGAGGGTATTTACGTAAATCCACCGGAAGACGAGAAAGTGGGGATGGTGGGAAGGAGAGATGATAAGAGAGATGGAAACGCGTCTCTCTATGAGGCCCATATTCCATTCATCTCTCTACCGCTATCTCTCTCTCCTCGAAATCGATCCGTAAACTCGCCGGAGGAGCAGGGAGATTCAATAAGACGATGGCTCAGAGAACGGAGAAGGAAGAGACGGAGTTCAAAGTTCTCGACACCTTGACGACAACAACAACAACGACGCTATGTACCAATAACTGCGGCGTTACAGCGAATCCTGCGACGAACAACATGTGTCAGAAATGTTTCAACGCATCTCTTGTCTCGGCGGCCGCCGGTGTTGTTGAATCAGGCTCGATCTTGAAGAGATCGGCGAGATCTGTCAATCTTCGGTCATCGCCAGCTAAAGTCGTGATTCGTACGAGAGAGATCGATGCGGTGAAGAGAGATCAACAGATCGTAAACCGATGTTCTGGTTGTCGGAAGAAAGTTGGGTTGACCGGATTCAGGTGCCGATGCGGTGAGCTTTTCTGCTCCGAGCACCGTTACTCCGATCGTCATGATTGCAGCTACGACTACAAAACCGCCGGTCGTGAGGCGATCGCTAGGGAAAATCCGGTGGTCAAGGCGGCGAAGATGGTCAAAGTTTAAATTAAAATTCGATCTCAACCGTTGAAAACTTGTGGTGGTTCAAAGCTCCGGTCTATACGATCGGAAGAGATGGTCGGAGACATCGATTTGAATTGGTGCTGTGTTGTAAAAGAAGATTCCTCTGCTCAATCAAATCTGAACCTCGAATTTTTATTTTGTTTACGTTTTTCATCTTTTAATTTATATATTAGTGAATGATTATTAATATTATTATTGTGTGGCTTACGGATTCATGAATTTGCTTCTTGATCGTCGAGAAATGTGTATGTAGGATATGGTAGAAACGAAGGGGTTAATTGGTAATTTAGGAACGTGTCTCTCTGGTTTCGTTCGTTTCGTGTGGTAGATGTACTTGTCACGGATACTAGTCCATTGTGCGTCACAACTCACAAAGCCAATTTCTCTCTCAGACAAGTTTGCTTGGCGTATAAAATACCAAAGCCAATAATGTGTTTGAGTTGTATGGGTTATCATCTTCTTGTTTGTCCCATTATTTATTATTAGATCTTTATATTAAAAGCATAACATATTAAATTATACGAAAGACTTTTATTTTAAATAATATTAACATGAGCTTACCCATTTTACGAATATTTTTTCCGTAAATTATTTTCAACGCATACGAAAATATCTTTGCATATTTAACAGAATAATGCCGACGTCTTAATATTTATGCGATGCAGTAACGTAGGATTTTAAAGATTTTAAACAACAAGCTTACTGTATATCTTAGAGATCTCACAACAAAAGACTATAGATTTCAAGCAACTACCATTGTAGCCAGAGCCGTTTTAGAGACTAGTAACAAAACATACAAAATTCATTTATATTGTAGAACGAAAAAAAAAAAACTTAACAAAGAATATTTATAGAGAAATTAAATGTAGACTATAAAAGCTAACTTGTGTTCCATATATAATATGCTTGGAGGAGGGGGATTGGATACGGGATCAGTGGTGATGAGCTTCGAGCCTTCGACGATGAAGTTTGGACGACGGTTAAGGTTTAGATATATAAAAGTTGACCATCCAAATAAGGATGAAGAACAAAAATTTAAAGCGTGAACACATAATCTCTTAAAGAATTGTGAAATTTCTAAATACTTTCACAAACTTTGATACATATTTTCAACAAGTTTATGTTTCGTTTCACTACGAATTGGTTTAGAACATTTTCGAGACAAAAAAGGAAAAAAAAAATTGTAAAAAGAAAGAGGTCATTGGTAAATTCATTAAAATGTGTTATTTAGCAAATTGGCCATTGATTATTTATACCTAAAAACCAGAAAAGAAAAGCTCAAAGTTAATATGTTTTGGCCCAACCCAATTATGAAAAATATTAAATGTTTGGTTTTAAAATTGAAACACAAAACGCCCCGTTTATAATTAAAAGAAATTGAGAGGGGCTTCTCATATCTAATTAGTTCCGTCCGTCGAAAACAAATAAATCCCTTAGACATATATAATCAGGAATTCAATCGACTGGGTTGCTGCTTTCTGGATTTCTCCGACAGAAACCCAAACCCTAGCACCACCACCACCTTGGAGCTCCTTAATTCTATCCGTTCTCGAATTGAATCGTCCATAGGTTAGGGTTTTAGTGGCGTGTAAATATATTCCGATTTGTTGATTTTTTGGGCTCTCTCTCATTGCGGTGGCAAGTTAAGGTTTTTGATAATAATCTCGTAAAGGAAATTTCAGTGGAGATGGGAAGCGCCGATCTAGTCGATGATCGGACCTTCAATGGTGATTTCAGTGTGGAAGGAGCTGCCAAGTTGAAAGAGATGGTCATGGTTAAACTCAAGGAGTTTATGGGCGATTACACGGATGACACTCTAGTGGTATGATTTCATCATTGTCATTCAATTCTCCATCTTTTTCTATAAATTGGAATTTTTTTATAGAGGGTTAATATGAATATCCACTTTTGGGGTTTATTATTCGTGTTCCTTGTAGCTAGAATTGCTGAGTTTTGGAATTAAAACTTTAGCTGCTCTTAGAATTCAACTGACACTACAGTCTTCTGCTTGCAGGAATATGTGATAGTCCTTCTTAGAAATGGGAGAAGAAAAGAGGAAGCAAAGAATGAATTGAAAATATTTCTTGGAGATGATAGCGACTCTTTTGTAGCCTGGTATTTGAAGATTTTTTTATCTTTGTGAAACAAAGTTTATTGCTTTTATAGAAATTCATATTGACTAGGAGGATATATGCAGGTTGTGGGATCATCTGGCTGAGAGTGTAGATGAATACTTTAGTTCTCATGTGGAGGGAACTACCATAAAAAGCTCATTGATAAGCAGTCAGAATGAGGATAAAGCACTTGTGCCTATGGATTCTGAATCTGAAAGGGGACGATCTGATAAATCAAATGGTGCACGCCGCGGTAGACAATGGAGAAGCCAGCCAACTAATGTCTCTGAGATTCCTCCTCTTCTGAGCTCTGAGGTTCACAAAATTCATAACTACGAGAAGAAAGATCACAAACACCGACATAATAAAAGGTCTCCATCTCCGCAGTCTCAATCTCACAGGAAAAGGTCTAGAACTGATGACTCACGGAATGAACAGGTCTGTATTTTGTAATTTTCTGTTGAATAGCAATCACCACGTAATACTTGGATTGGAAAATTGATAAAAATGCTAAAATAGTTTACTGGGTGGGATGTCATCATATCTTATTTTGAAGACATTCTCAGAGTAAAATTTGGGCCAGAGGGCATCTTTGTCTCTTCCTGTGTATGAGACTAACATGTCAGACGTCCTTAATTACTCTTATCTTTGTGTTATGAGGTTGTCTTGTTCCAGTGTTTCAATGTTTTTCCTGCTGTAAAGCTAATGTACGATACTGGTTATGGTTCTCTGATTTTGTTTTCTTTGACTTGTTTGATAGAGAGAAGCTAAACCTGATGTCTCTCGCCGGCTGCTTCAGTTTGCTGTGCGAGATGCTCTAGCTATATCAAGGCCGGTAAATAGTTCGACTGAATCCTCATTAAAACGTCTTCGTTCAGTGGTGTCCACATCTACTCAAGACTCATCTGACCCCGATCCAGCTCGGAAAATTCGATCGGTTGCAAGAGTTGTGAACCCCATGGCAACTGTTATGAAAGCTGTCGCCGAAGCAGCTGAAGATGCCAAGAAACCAAGATCTGGGAGAAGTGTCTTTGACAGAATTAGTCATTCTACTGGATTTTCAGAGACCCTGGACCAGCATATGGTACATGGTGAAGTTTCCCCCAAGAATGAAGAATCTAGGAATTTTAGCGAAGACCAGGAAGCGGTACAGCTTCAATACACGCAGAGTCTTGACAACAATGGAGTGTATGTTGAGAAAATGACAACTTATGACACTGGCTTGCAGCCAGCTTTTTCGTCTGATCGAGGCAGACTCGGTTCAAGTGTTAACGTTTCTCATCCAAGTACTTTTCTTGGGAACAGAATTAACAATCCAAATAGTCTGCAGCATCGTTTGGTCGATGACTCCAAAAGACTTACAGGGTCGAATTATCAAAATCGCCTTACTGAAGTTGATACTAAGCATAAGACTGCAAGTTTCTCTGGCAATGTAGATACAGGGAAAACGGTAAGTTTAGAGGAGCAGATGAAAGTACCAGATGTGGGTCTGCAAAGATATATGGACGAAGGCAGATTAGTTTCTAGTGAAGCTAACAATCAATTATCGACGCAGAAAATCTTGAGTGATACAATAAGGAATGGAAATGTAAGTTCCATGTTTCCGATGCATGCTCTTACTAGCTATTTCAATGATAGTCCTCTTCCACAATTTGTTGGGCATGAAATATAAAACATCCCGAAAGTTTAATATTTACCCCTCATGGATATGTTCCGATGATTTATTTCGTTCTTACTTATGATATCAACTGGACTCCTCCTAATACAAGCCGGCTTGTTGTTCTTTGACAGATAAAACCTGCTGCCAATGTGAAAGAAGATTCAACGACCAATAAATCTGTTCCTGGTGAGTTGTTAAAATATATCAGTCTTAAGCTTTTTGAAAATTTATGCTATTGGAATTTCTTTTTTGCCCTTGACAACCTCACTTCTTTGGTGCCTGTTGTTGTAGTTTTTCTGTATAAGTTTTTCTAAGATGATATACTGGCATTTGCAGGGACATTATCCACTACCCGCCCTTTGGAAGATGCGAGTTCTCGAACAATCTTTGTCGCCAATGTAATAATTGTTAATTGGTGTATACTCTTGAACTGGAATTGAGCAAAAACTTGTCAATTGGTGTATTAATTTGAATGTGATTGGTCGTAAAACAGGTTCATTTTGGTGCCACCAAGGATAGCCTTTCAAGGCATTTTAACAAGTGTGGTGAAGTGCTTAAAGCTACCATAGTTACAGATCCAGCAACAGGACAACCAAGTGGGTAAGTTTTCTGAATTCATGACCCCAATTAAAGTCTTGATATGTCTCAGTTCAGTTATATGGGACACCTTAGTGACCCAAGTTGATCACCTCTTGCAGATCAGCGTACATTGAGTTCACGCGTAAAGAAGCTGCAGAGAATGCATTGTCTCTGGACGGTACCTCTTTCATGTCTCGGATTCTCAAGGTAAAAATTGAAAGCCGTGTTCAACTGTTTACCATAGCCAACTATTGCTTATGGTCTTTAGGATTGGTTAGAATCTTAGTTGGATAAGGAATGAGCTGTGTAATTTTTGATGGACGCAGATTGTGAAAGGAAGCAATGGGCAACAGCAAGAGGCTGCATCGAGCATGACATGGCCTCGAGGTGGAAGGTTCGCAAGAGCGCCCTCATACTTTAGAGGTGGTGCAGTTAGGGGTCGTTCTGTTGTTAGAGGTGGAGCCAGGAGTATGCAATGGAAGCGTGATTCAGCTGACACTGGAAACAACAACAATGTAGCTCCCAACAATGCTCGTAGCCTCACGTATGTCCGAACAGAATCAAAATCAGACGGAATTGCCAACGATTGATAGATAAGAAAGAGAAGCAAGAGCTTAGGTAAAAAAAAAAAAGGAAGATGAGTTTTATCATCTGCCTCATCGGATATTATTCTGAATTTGTTTTTTCTTTTTTTGATTCTATAAAGCTACTCCAAAACTTTTACTTGTATTGAGTATTGACGTTTATGCTTCATCAATCGTTTGGATATTAAAGAAAAAAAAGACCAAAAAAAAGTTGTATTTCAAACTCTCTTTGTCTCTCATGGTGATAACAAGAGGAACAAGTTTCCGAAACACAAGGCAACAACACACAAGATGGAAACAACACGAGCCCTAACGAACAACAAATTGAGATTCTTAGCAACTTGAAGTGTCAAAGTTAGAATCTGCAACCTACCTAACTCTTCCATCTTCTTGAAGAAGTACATTGGCTTCAACGATCGTCTCACCATCAACGCCATCGCAAACGGGAATCCGAAAGCTATACAGCTCTGAATTGTCATTTCCTTCATCGGATCTGATCGAGTCGCGTACAAAATCGCCCCTCCAAGAATCAATTGAGTTAAACCAAGAGCACCCATGGCTCCACTTAGACTGTACATGTTCTTCATCATCCCTTCCAACACTTGTCTCGTCTCATTTCCTAACGCCGACAAATCGCGTTCCACTGTTGGTCCTTCGATCTCCTGGTGCTTCATCTTCGGCAGCTCCTCTGGCTTCGACTCCTCTGCTGGCTTCTTCGGCTCGGTCTCTCCGCTTGGTGTCGAGAAATACCTCGGTGACCATGTTTCAGATCGAAGCTTGTCGATATTGAAAGCAGAAAAGGATCTTAAGAGACCAAGCTCCTGAGTTACTGATCCGTGGGTCAGATGGTTTCTTATGAGAGATGAGGAAGATTGGAGATGACGGCAAGAAGCGTGGAAAGATGGAGAAGACAAGGGTTTAAGGAATTTCGAAACCAATCGACGAGAGATCATCATCGTCGTCGCCGAATTCGATACAGAGAAGAAGCTCTACGTAATCAATTTAGGGTTTCTTATTGCCAAATTTTGTATGGGCTCACTCTTCCAATTTTGACCCAACCCATCAAATCATAGCTTTAGACAAGTCAACAACGGTTTAGATCAATTTTAAGAGTTTTTTTTTTTGGTTTAGACTGTCCAACATCGAATTTTGGTCTTAAATTAACGGTCTTAAACTCTTAATACATTATCATCATCGCTTTATATGATTTTGTTAATGCAGAAGAATTGTATGATTACTCGTCTATCCCCTAATGCATAGAACTCGATGTGCAACAAGTGGCTTACTCTAAAAGTGAATATCAATAACACTTAATTGAACAATATAATCGGGTACCGACAAGTGCTCTTAATCCAAGACAAAACACCAAGTTCCCACAAAGTTTGGAGAAACACACTCTCTTCCTCAGGCCTAATAAAGAAACACAACTCAAACTCGCAATATAAAAACCAAAAGCCACCAAATTTTTTAAAAAGGTCATCAAGGGATTCACAACAATGTCTTCTTCACTTACAATCTTCTTCTTCTTTGCTTCCACATTCCTCTACTCTTCATCAAATTCATTCAACATCACTAACATCTTAAACGAGCATGATGATTTCTCAACTTTCAACCAGCTTCTCTCCGAAACTCAGCTCGCTTCTACCATCAACAAACGTCAAACCATAACCGTCCTCGTGGTTTCCAACGGCGCACTCTCTTCTATCTCCGGCCAACCAACCGCCGTTATCAAGAAAATCCTTAGCCTCCACATCGTTTTAGATTACTATGACCAGAAGAAACTCAAGAATCTGAGCAAGAAATCAGTACTCCTCACCACTCTTTTCCAATCTAGCGGCCTAGCCAGAGGCCAGCAAGGGTTCTTGAACGCAACCGTTACGAAAGACGGAGACGTGGCGTTTGGATCTGCGGTTCCTGGGTCTAGCCTTGATGCTCAGCTTCAAGACACTGTAGCGTCACTACCATTTAACATCTCGGTGCTTCATATTAGTAGTGCTATAATGATTGATGTTAAAGGTGATAATGCACCTACTGCTTCTCCTTTGTCACCGGTATCATCTCCACCGCGCCCTGCAGAATCACCTAAGGATGATGGTCATGATTTTGACGAGCCACCATCCTCTGCTCCTGATGCTGCTGCTGATGGACCTTCCGAAAACGCCGGCTCAGCCAATGGAGTTTCAAGGATCGATTCTCAGCCTGCGTTCACGTTTCCGCTGTTGATGTCTTCCATTTGGTGGTTCATGGCTTGACTTCGATGAGAAGCAGAGTGCAAAGAACTAAACAGATCAGTTCAGGTTGTGGAAGGAAAGCCAAAAAAAAAAACGATACAACAGACGCAGCTCGGGTGGCTGCAAAAACGAGAACACTAAAAGACTAAGCTTGACGAGTTCTACGAGGAAAATAAATTGATTGATACAATAAAGATGTTAAAAATTGTAAAACTCAAAAATTGTCGGATATCATCTTTACTTAAGTTGAAGATACCAATGTTATAAAACACAAACTGCAAGTTTTTGTTACTCAATGGTGCCTCGTTGTTTTGTTGCATTACATAAAATCGACGACACAGAGAAAGGAAAAAAAAACATGTACTCTAGACGAAACTAGATTATAGATATTTATTACTTTTTAGCTATGAAAGGCAAAAAGCAACCCAAGAACAGGAAGCACATTCATATCCATGTCTCTCCACAAACCCTAACAACGAAACCCAACAAGTCTTCAAGCAAGACAAGGAAACAAAACTCAAGGACTATACATGTCGACTGGCTTTAAAGAAAGCTTTGATTAAAAGCAGAAAAACTTTAAAAATGCAGCAAGTAAAATTGTTCCTTTCCCGAGTCAGTGGTGAAGTCCGTTTCCATTGCTATAGACATTGCCGTTCTGATGAACTTTCCCCATTGCAGATCCATTGGCTACTCCATTTTTCGAAACTATGTTCACCTTGCCACCTGTTTGCAAAACTGATTCTAGACACCCAGACGCTGCTGCGATAAGACCTGTTGTATCAAAGTGTTTCTTAGTAAGCCACAACACCATTACCACAGATTCTTGCTCAAAAAAGCTATCAAACTATAACCCAGAATTTACCTAGAAACAATGCAGAAGGTTTCCCAGGTCTGGACTTGAATTCAGGATGGAACTGAGCACCCACAAAGTATGGATGACTTGGTAGTTCTACAATCTGCACACCAAACCAGTAGAATAATGAAGCACAACATCACAAATGCATTCATATATTGTTCCAAGCTCACATTGAGTCACACATTAAACAGGTTCTCCACGAGCATATTACCTCCATACGACGCCCAGTCTCATCTTTCCCAACAAAGGAGAGGCCAGCCTTCTCAATTTCAGATATCATATCTGGATTTACCTGCCAAAATTTAATATATTTCACGTTCAACGACTTAAGAGAAAACTCAAAGGAAAAGAACATGTAAAATAGAAGAAGCTGAAATATTACCTCATATCTGTGCCGGTGTCGCTCATCAACAAACTTTGCATTACCGTACCTGAATGTAGAAGAAGAAGTTATATAGGTTTTGTACCTGAATGTGCTACTGTGTCTTAAATGAGTTATGTGCTTACAGCTTGGCAGACTTGCAATCAGCAACCTGGAAGTAAGTCCTCCTTGACCCTAAGCGCATTGTGCCCCCCATATGAGTTGTGGATCCCTATAAAGAGATTGAACAAGTATAAGTACATACTCAATACATGAAAAGCATGTAATTAATCAAATGAGAGGGACAGATGGTCTAGTACTTCTGGCATAAATATGATGCAAGGGCTTGAAGTTTCTGGTTCAAACTCTGTGCTGTTTGCATCATGAAAACCGAGAATGGAGCGGGCAAATTCAACAACAGCCAGCTGCATTCCCAGGCATATGCCAAGGAAAGGAACTTGATTTTCACGGGCGTACTTTGTAGCAAGTATCTTCCCTTGCACTCCTCGATCACCAAACCCTCCTGGTACTAGGATACCATCAGCACCCTGCAACAACGGAAGTGATGAGTCAAACATATTTACCGAATTGGTTTGTCAGGCTCCATTAAAATTAACCTACCTTCAAAAGATCCCATGCAGCTTTATGGACATCTGGCGCCTGCAAGTCATACAAAAGCCCATGAGACTAAATACATTGGTCGTACCCTGAGAGAAACTAAAACCAGACTCACCTCCTGTGCAGTTATCTCTTCAAGGTCACTGGCTGCAACCCACTCTATGACAAGCTTCTTGTGACATGCAACAGAAGCATGCAAAAGGGCCTGCAGTGAAAAGGGCGCCACACAAATCCCATTTTGTAAGAATCCTCAATATAAGACACAGTTGTTATAAAGAAGTGAAGTATAAACTAAAGGTTGGGATTATAAAATGCATAACAATATTTGGTTTGTATAAGAACACAGAGATCCAATTACCTTCAACACAGAAAGGTAAGAATCAGTAAGGCCAGTGTACTTGCCAACCATAGCTATTCTCACCTGAAAGAGAAGACCATCGATGAACAATGGTTTTGATTATATAGACACGCTGGCATCAAAAAATTATTTAGAAAAAGCTGACTAACAGGATCTTGCAGTGTGTCATAAATTTTAGTCCTCGCAGTCCATTCTGCCAAGTCTGGCTTTACAGCATTACTGCAGAAGAAGCAAATGTCAAACGGCTAGATATAAAATCATCACAGACAAGCTTAAAGTGTGGAGCCTAGAGCAAAATAAAATTTACACTCAGAGAAAAAAAAAAAGGAAAAAGATGGTTCATAAACAAACCTAAGGTTCAACTCTTTTAGGATGGCTTCGTGAGCCTTTTGATCCTGTTGAAGAGAAGTTAACACCAAAAAGAATGATAAGAAAAAAAAATCAAGCATAGGAACAGGTTCATTTGATTTCGTTAGTTAGAAACTATTCAACCGAAATGTACTTACCCTTAAAAGCAGCGGAACATGCCAAATATTTGGAACATCATAGAGCGTTACTATATTCACTTCCTGGGAAACCATAGAAAAGCAGACAGAATTTTTACTCGGACAGAGGTCTTTTGATGAGAGATCTGACCTCCCTGCTCTAAGATGAGCAATTAAAAACCAGAAATTCAACAACATATACCGGCACATGGCAAAATTGAGATAGTTTTGTCTTGACATTTTCTTCAAGTGCCTGTTAGAAAACAAGAACTGATAAGATTAAAAACCAAAATCCATAGCTAATATCAACACAAAAGGCACATGAAATTATAGGAGCGCCCATTACCTTTGTGCTGCGACATGCTAGGATATTTGGTGTCAAACCAAGGCTCCTGAGTCCTCGCACACTATGCTGGGTTGGCTTCGTCTTCTGCAATATAGATGTTCATATCTCTGTTATTACAAACTAATAAAATAGAACCTCCGTGGAAGATATCAACTATATAGGCATTACCTGTTCACCAACAACACTGAGAACAGGCACAAGGCTGACATGAACCAAGCAGAAATTACCAGGCCCTAAGAACAAAAGACAGATGTGATGATAGAGCCGATAAGCAATAGCCTAGGAAAATTACTGAAACTTCAAAAGTTTATATAAATTAGAGCACGGCTCACCAACTTTATACGAGAATTGACCAAGGGCCTCAATAAAGGGCATAGATTCAATATCACCTGTAGAGAACAAAGATTAATAAAAGCCACTCTTCTGAGCAATTATCAGGAAATGTAATATAATCCAACAAACAGTACCTATAGTCCCGCCTAATTCGATGACACAGACATCAGGAGGACCTTCCTTCCCATCCACAGGTACATTAGCGACACGCTCAATCCACTCTTGGATTGCGTCAGTAACATGAGGAACCACCTTCAATAAAGTTAAAAACTTTGTTCAAACACTGAATCAACTTAGAACCAGAGGAAATTAAGTAAGAGCACACGTTCATAATGTCTGAACCTGTACAGTTCTTCCGAGGTAGTCCCCCTTCCTTTCCTTGTCAATGACTGACTGCAAAAATGAGGGTACAAAAAAATGTAACCTGGTTCTAAGATGAGATAACTATAGAGGTAATACACATACCTGGTATATCTTTCCAGTTGTTATATTGTTGTCACGGGTCAATGTACTGTCTAAAAATCGTTCATAGTTTCCAAGGTCCAAGTCCACCTGAAAGAAGTCACAATGCATCAGTTTGAGGAACAAAACTCGAGATGATTAGAAAATACATCACAGAATCACAATACGACATACCTCTCCACCATCATCCAATACAAATACTTCTCCATGCTCAAATGGAGACATTGTTCCAGCATCAGTATTAAGATAAGGATCTGCATAAGGAATGTAAGTAACTGTGAACAAAGGATCACATAGCCACAAATTTACTCAAATTGCTGCGCAATACAAGCCGTTACACAACAAAAGGTGCCACTTTGGCCGGATTATTGGTCGGAGAGGATCAATCCAGAGTGTTGCATGCAATCCAAAGTGAAAACAAAGGCAAGAATCTCACCAATTTTGATGGAAGTAACACGAAGACCACATGCTTGAAGAAGAAGTCCAATGCTACTAGCAGTGACACCTTTGCCAAGACCACTCACCACTCCTCCTGTCACCAAAACGTACTTCATAATCGTTTGTCTCTGCTTCTTCTTCTTCTTCACCTAAATCATTAAGAACACAGAACACGGTAAGCAAAGATAAGACTTTGAGACGAGTTATATCTTGCTCACAAAGAGGAGATTCTTGGGTATAGAGTCAAAAACAAGAAAGTGAGAAGAAGAAATTTACGAATTCTACCTTTCTCTAACAAAAATGGCCTTCTGGATTTTCAAGGCGGCGGCTTATAAGCTATTAACCTGCGAGACCCTCACTCTTATTTAAACCCAAAATTGAAAGCCAAAAATAGATTTTTTTTTTTTGTCCAAAGTTTTTTAATCTCAAAAAAGAAAATAAAATAAAAAGGGACTGAAACGGTAATTTCAGTACCATGGTGAATTTATTTTTCTGCTTACTCAGTTACTTGTGTGTTCCTTGAGAATCTTGAGATTAAATTTAGGGTTTCTGAGTTTTGTTTGTGACACTCGTGCTTGTGTTGTGGAAGGTTGCATAATTTTGGTAAGATAGGCCCAAAAGAGTGTTTTGGATAGAAACTGTGCACATATTTTTAAAATATCCAATCAAAAAGGTATCAAACTTTTTGAGTCCTCCTTTGCTACTTTCTTTCATCATTTGTCGTTATACCATTAATAGAGGCCTTCACATGTTCATCAAATACAAGAAGTCAACAAGTCCATGTTTTCTTCCTTTGCCTCTGTTTCTCATGTCCTCTTCTTCAACTCTTAACTCTTAAGAACAAAAATTGGACCCACTTTTTGATTTAGCAGTTTGCACCGACATGTGTCTTGCTGAAGAAGCATGTTTCATGCTCTGGCTCTCTGTCAAACTGTCACATCTTGTTGATACGTGTTGTTTCATCTTATTGTGGAGATTATTAGGTGTTTACTGATAGTTATTTGCTATCAACAAAATCGCAATGGAAAGTTGGAAACGATATTTACCCAAGAGAACCGGCAGATAAAATGCTCATTAGGATTCATTGAGGAAAGAAGAAGAATGGTGATATTGAAGGCATTAGGAACAATTTTGCCTTTATGAACTCAACTGAGTAAAAGAAGACTCGCTCAACCATTTCTTTTCGTTTTAGGATGATAAAGAGAACTCAGGAGCGACAAGCATTTGAAACGAAACAGATGCACAACATAGCAAGTAAACTAAGATTACAACACGATATCATCTTATCTTATACAAAGCTCGGAAACTCATTGAGTAGTGTCGGTTGCTCCAGCAGCATCGGCTTCTGAAGTGGTCTTAGCCATCACCTCACCTGGAGGAGGATGGTCAAACTTGCATGTTGCCCCGTATTTGCAAGTCCCTGTCTTCATGTAATAAGGGCAATTAAGCGCACCCTGCAACAGTTTTTTGTTTTGTCTATGAGATTAGCACACAAACTCATATCATGCAGGCTTATAATGATACCACTTTATAAGGTACCTCTCTTCTGGGATACCCTGCAAGACTCAGCTTTACATTTGGTTGTTGAGAAGCTTGATTGCTCGTTGCACTTAACCTATCTGCTGGGTGATGGAACCTGCATCTCTCTCCAAACTTGCACTCCCCTGTCTTCATGTAGTACTATAATATTGAAAGATAGGGCTTTTGGTAAAATTCCAACTAACATGTGGGAGAAAAGGCTCAACGATTTCTAAAAGAAACAAGGATACTCACATCACATTCTGATTGTCCAGGTCTTTGGGGATAAGTTGCTGAAAGCGCTCCAAGCTGTAACAAGTTCCACTCTAATTAAACCTCTAGCAACTAAGGAACAGCTTTTGAATATTTCCCACAACATGAATAAACCATATACCGTGGGTTGAGTAAGAGTCTGGTAGAAGGAGGTAGCTGGTGTAACCATCCCAAGGTTTAAATTCGCAGTGTTCGACGAAACTAGAGAATAGTTTATCCCAGTAGCTTGGGGGATAAATGCTGTGCACAAAATCAAAACATCGCACATTATGAGAACTAAGAGATGAAAGTGATATGTTAAAGGTTCTAAGAACCACAAAGATTGACATGATCACAAACCAGTCCTCTCAGGATGATTGTAGCGACAAGTGGCTCCATACTTGCAGCTAATTATGGAAAAGGAAAACAAGTTAGAACGTTAATGTCACCTTCTTTATTTCAAGGTTGTAACCAACGAAATAGTATTATACAACAGATATTCACCTTCCGGTTTTGAGATAGAATGGGCAGTCCACTTCACCCTGCAAAAGCTACAGTCTAATTAGTGAAACTTCATTCTCAGATGTCAGAACAGGTCAGCATACAATGCTATTCATCAGTTCTAAGTATAGTGCCTATAAGATATTAGAAAGTTCACCAATTCTGCCTATAAGATAATAAGTCAGTCTTATGCAAAGTGAAGATGGATTTATTACCGGTCTAACAGGCAGTCCTTTCGAGTTATGATACAATGCTGGGGTAAATGTGACATGCGGATTGTTTGTGGCATCAGGCTCACTGGTTAACCCCACACTGCTACCATTATCCTGACTAGATGATGGTACCTGGATATCCTTTGGATGGTGGAATTTGCATGTTAAACCAAATTTACATTTTCCAGTCTTCATGTAGAACTGATGCAGAGTAGAAACATTGCTAAATTAATAATCAAAATTAGTTTCATATGTAAGAGAATTGACAAAAAAACGGATACGTAAATCAATTATATTTATATCTTACTGTGCACATAGGTTCAGAAGGCCTCTCAGGCAATGCATCTTGGGTTTCAACACTAACCTAAAATAAAGAAGAGCATCAGGCAATGCGCAGCCAAGAAAAAACTAAAGCAGTACATATTACAAGTACAAGATTTTATGCGAGTGTCAGCAGGCAAATACACAACCTAGGGATAAAATCATTTCGAAATGGAAAATTCACTTACTGCAGCCTCTTCTCTCGGATGATTAAATTTGCACCTTGAACCATATTTGCAGCGTTGGGTTTTTATATAGTACTGGACAGCAGTGAAAATAAAAGAAAGATAGTCAGGTCCTCAAGCGAAACAGAAATCAAATAGCTCGAAAAGTTTTCACAAACAGCTTACAGGACAATCTGGTTCTCCTGGTCTCTCAGGGTACTCTTCATTTGGAACAACTGGTGCCTAAATGAAAAGATATTCATAAGAAAAAACAATCATATCATTTTATCATGGAATGCCTAGACAATGAGTATGACGTCTCTTCCAAGTCAAGGAATGAACTGACAAAGGGAAAACAAACACGGTCGCAGAAGTCGGGAAGCTCAAATCTTGAATCACAATAAGATACCATTTGTCATACCTATACTATCATGATAATTTAGTAAATCTATGAACTCGTACACCAAGCAAAAACAATATATATATAGTTACAAAGTAATTAGGCACAAACTCCCGCAGTAGAAAACATATAAGTACATAACAGAATATAGAAAAACGTTATCATAATAATGTAAATATCATATGAGGGCATAAGAAATACGTAGATAGTAATAAACGATCACCTCTTTCCAATCTGGGATTCCGCCCTCAGGAACCCAAATAGGATGATCAAACTTGCAGCTATCTCCAAATTTACATGTTCTTGTTTGCATATAGTGGGTACAATCCTTCTCTCCTGCCCTCTGTGGATATATAGGCAAATGGCTTGTACTCTCCAACTTAGGGCGCTTGGTAAAATAGTCTGTAGTATACCAAGCTTCGGTTTGACCAATTGTATTATGGGCACCCAACAGAGTCGGATAGTAGAGCGCTAAATTACATAATAAACAATAATATACAACGAAATGAGAAGATATATACCGAGTATAAGTATAATTTGAAAATAAATTTGGGGTAATAAATGTACGATACACTACAGCAGAAACCAAAGTATAGCATCAATAGTATCTTTAGTTAAACTTACAGTTAGAAATTATGGCTTACATACAATCATTTTTTAAAGTCTATTGGAAACAATGGAGTTACAACAAAACATAAATCATCAATCAATTCTGCAAAATCACTAAGTGTTACACCAAAAACATTGAGGTCAAATTTAAAAACAATTGTCTTTAGGAAATTCTAAAGCAAGAAAGACTTAATCAAGAACACTAGAATAAGCTATATAGTTTGTAGATGCAATTCGATCTGAATACCTAAGCATCCCCTTAAAGATGATTCTAACTTTCAAGCTTTGCGTTGTTCAAACTCAAAACAAAGCAATTGGCCAAACCAATGCAACCTCTATTTCAGCTAACGAGAAAGCACAGAGGAACACAAAGCAGCATCCTTGTGCTTGACCAAATATAAAACAAAATCATTAAAGCTGATTTTTTTATGCTGCAATTGACGAAACAAACCATCAAAAACACTCATTTTCGCTACAGGACTAGAGAATCACGATGAGCAGATAAAAAGTAAAGCTGAAGTCTTTCAATTTTCAGATTATGCGGCATAGTTTTCAAGCAATAAATAAGAAAATGATGCAGATCCCAGAAATAGTAAGGTAAAATAAAAAGAGCATACCTTCAGAGGTGCGTTTGACACCAGGAGGAAGTGGCTCGACGGCGGAAGCAGCACCGGGAACCTCCACACCAGGTGGCCAAGCTGCTTCCTGATGCTGAAGCAGCTGCGGATACGCCAAATGCGATGCCGTCGTGTTAGGCAAATGGTGGTACATAGCGGAGGACGATGCAAGAGTCCCTGAATAGTTGCTCAAAGCTTCGGATCCATCGCGAGCTAAGAAACGAAACGTGGTATCGGGGTAATAATGGTCAGCAGAAGAACCGTAGAGAGAGGAAAGACCGGTTTTTGGCGGCTGCTGTTGCGGCGGAGGAGCTGGAGATACGGCGGAGGCAGCAGCGTAAGAAGGTTGAAGAGCGTAGCTATACAATTGACGATGTGCCATTCGATTGAAAAGAGAAACCCTAAAGGAAAGCTTTCTACTTTTTGGTGTCAAATTATCAAATTGTTGTGTTTGTGGGGTTTACTTTATTGTTCCAAGTCTAAGCAGCAAAGCAAAGCAAAAACAACCAACCAAAACAGAACAATGATTCTCAGATCCATAAAACTGATTTGACATTACCACTGATTCTCTCTGTTTAATTGCAATTTGCACATTATTAAATTCTCTCTCTTTCTTATCAATACACCAAAAAAAAATATAGTTTTTATAAAGTTGGGAGCTTTTTACATAAGGGAATAAACACTGAAGGTAACTAAGAAACCGAACAAAGCCCCTGCTATGACTTCAACTTCAGTGTGTCCTATTGATTCTTTCAATGGAGGAGCAACCTCTTCACTGATCTCGTCTGATTGCAATGCCTTATTAGATTCGTTGCCCTTAAAACTCATTACTTCACTTCTACGAGCATTAGCTGTTAGTTTGTTCAACACTTTCGCATGTTTCCCAACTTCTCTCCTCACCCCCTGCAATGGTACAATCAATGAGATATGTTGAGACTTCAATTCAAAAGCCAGCCCTAAGCTTTTCTCTAGAGACCATTTGACCAATGGACTTTTAGATCATACTTGTTATAATGCAAGTTCGAATTTTGGTGAAAAGGGGTAAATAATTACCTGGGCATCATACATGATAAGGCCAGCATAAACCACAGTAAGACCAAAAATGGAGTCAGCAAATCCCCTGAAGCCAAACCATATTCAGGAAATTGCATAAGCTGAATATATATATCGGGGAATTGAGAAGAGAGCTAAATCACCTTTCAAAAGCAATTGCAGTTGCTGCGGCCACAACTGACTGATTTCTCAAGAATCAGGCCAAAATGTCAGAGAAGTAGACAAACACGATTATCAGAGGAAACAAGAAGAAAAAAGAAGAAGATAAGCTTACGGAAGAATGTGTTGAAGGGAAACCTCCAGCTTGAAAGACACTTCTAAAGTCCAGATTTTTCCCATACAAAACCACAGAAGTGAATGGCTTTGAGAGCTGCCCAATCGCAGCAGAAGTCCCAGCAGCTATGAGTACCTTCACGCCGGTGAAATCATAAGCCTAAGTGACGATGACCCTCCAAAAAAAGGGACGAAAGAGGAGAAAAGGCGAAACCTTGTTGTGGATGACCTCGGCGATATCTTGGAATCCAACATTGACAACGCACGAAGTGAGACGAGGTGGCTTCTTTGGGCAGCTTGAAAGATTGAATTTGGAGTTGGAGAAGGAGAAATAGAGATCATTGGCGTTATAAGACACAAAACAGTGCTTCAACATCTCTGTGCAAACGAAAGAGCTTGAGGATTACTTTGGTCGGGGGATGACGATAAGAAGGGGGCAGCGAGAAATTTGGAACCAATGGTTCTGACGCTCTGTTATGTCCAGAAGAGTGTTGTCTCTTGGGACATTTTAATTGACTCAAAGATGCTTTTGTGGATTTTTTCAATGACAACAGAAAACCTGCTTTAACTCTATTAGTAAAACTCATGGAATCTTTGTCTCTTAAATCAAGTCATTTGTTCTTCTTTTATAAATCACAATTTGTATTCGTCAAAAATTAAAGAATATGAACAAAAAGAAACATATAGAAACTTTCAGCTCGTGGAGTTTAAGTCTAAAAGTACTCGAAATCTATATACGCTGTATCATCCGTGGGACCAGCAGCACAGGCGACCAGAGGCTCCGGCTTAATTGAGTTACAGTGATCACCAACTCCATGGCTCTTTGCCTTCCCTCTAGCGGCCGCGTACGGTCCCAAGTCCACGGGGTCGGGAATGTGAGGAGGGGAAGCACTACGCACTAGAGCCCAATTAACTCCTTCAAAGAAAGGGTGTTGCTTTATCTCTGTGGCTCCCCGTGTGTAAGCGATCCTTCTGTGAGGATCCTTCACTAGAAGTCCACGGATGAGATCACGTGCCGCTGAGCTCACATGCGGGGTATCCGGGAACTTCAGCGGCTGACCCACTACATTGTGCAGCGTGGCTCTGTTTCCCTGCCCCTTGAACGGGGTGGTCCCATGGAGGAGCTCATAAAGGAAGATCCCGAATGTCCACCAGTCCACAGCGCTGCCATGTCCCTCGCCACGAATGATCTCTGGAGCCAGGTACTCGTGTGTGCCCACAAAGGACATTGACCGCACATCTGTTGGCTCTGCCATGAGCTCCGGCATAGAGAGGCCACCGAGGCCGGAATCTGATTTGGCTTTACGAGTTTTCTTGGAAGGGAGGAGGCGGGGGAGAAAGGCGGATGGATGCATGCAGCCATTGACAGCAAACTCCTCGTTGAGGATAGCACCTCCTCCGCTGCAGACTGAGGAGGACTTAACGAGGGTCGGATTAAAGGTGCAACGGAGGGAGAGGTCAAAGTCAGAGAGCATTATGTGGCCTTCATCTCGAACAAGGATGTTCTCTGGCTTTAAGTCTCTGTACACAACCCCCAGCATGTGCAGATACTCCAAAGCCAATAGCACTTCAGACGCGTAGAACCTGTCAACAAACTCATCAGAGAAGATAACATGTAAGCTCCAAAGCCAAATAAATTGAATGTTATCTCTAACCTCGCGGCCTCTTCTGTGAAACGCCTGCTGGGTTGCTTCTGTCTGAGTGAATGGAGATTTCCACCGCTGCAGAACTCCATGACCAAACAGTAGAATTTATCGGTCTCAAAGTAAGAATAGAGAGTCGGCAAGAAAGGATGATCAAGCAGGGATAGGATTTCTCTTTCGGTCTGTGCCCTCAGCAACTTGTTTCTGCTGGCCAAAGAGGCCTTATCCATCACCTTCATCGCAAAAACCGCATTTGTCCCTCGCAGGTCTGCAAGATAAACGCTGCCTATATCCCCGTACCCTAGACGTTTCAGAAGCCTGAAGTTATCGAGACCTATTTGAGGGCCTTTTGAAGCGATTGAGTTAATGGCGTCCCACCTCACGTCCCCTCCCGTGTGAGGCTTGAAAGGTGTAGCTGATGGACCCACCAAGTTATCACCATATGCATAGTCCCCATTATGTCTAGGGGCTCTCTTGTTGTCTGGGGACTTAGTCCTGTGGTGGTGATGATTTCTGGCGCTTGGGGAGTATGTTTCAGATGTGGTTAAAGGAACAATCTTTTTGGGATCATAATGAAGATTTTTAGGAGCATTCTTCCGCATTGCTAAGCTATCACCCTCGCTAGAATAGGTGTTATGCTTTAAATCACCCTCGCTATTGGTCCCTCTAGTCGCGGTGGGAGGTTCATGAGACTTTATCGGTTGATGTTTGACGAGAGGATCCATCTTCTTGGGATCGAAATAAGGGTTTCGGGGAACATTGTCTCCTAGTTTAAGTGAAAATGGAGAGAGGCTTGTACGAGGCGACTTAGGTTTTACGATTGGGTCTACCTCCTTGGAGCCAACATTAGCTGTGTTCTTCTTGGAAGCTAAGTCCATTTTCGGAATATCTCCAGGTTGATAATGATTCTTCTTCCGTTATAAAGTAGCTAACCTACATCATCAATAAAAGCACCTTAAGATGTTTTGTGCTATGTAACATGATGACAAAAAAAGCATGGGAAAACATTAAAATCACCTTTTACCTGAAATGATCACGCTTCCTTGCTGATGTAAAAGACAAGCTGAGGATAATCAAACCATGTCAAACCGAAGAAACTGCCACCAGAATCCAAGGGACAAAACATACAAAGAAAGAAGGATAATGCGTCAGAGAAACGAAAAAAAGTGAGAATCTTGAAACAGGTTTGGAAAAAACAAGAATGCGGACCATGTTTAGACAGCATAAGTGTAGGTAGTTCCCATAATGCAAAACTCAAAACTCTAAACAAAAGCCAGTTAATAATAATATGTTTTGCAAGATTCTAATCAAGAAATGAAGAAAGAATTGTCCTGTCTTTGTAAACGTGTAAATCCCCTTAATAGTATCTCAACCTGGAAAAGCAGAGAGAGACAAGAGGAGATGCAAAAGAGATGGAGAGAGGGAAATTTTCTTAGCCTCTCATCCCTCAACGCTTACATTGCCGTCTATTCCTCTCTCTCTCCCAAGTTTTTTTTTTTTTGTGTGTCTAAATTAACCATTTTTTTTTCCTCTTTACCTAAATTGGTTTCATTGACAGAGACATATGTCAACAAATGCAGAGAGACATTGTTAACGAGAGAGATATAGTTACAGTAATAGCTCACCTGGTCTCTCCCTCTTCTTGTGCTTCTGACCAACGGAGAAACTGATGTTTCCAGTTGAATTAATTGTTCTCGACAAGTAGTGGGTTCGAACCGTTGCAACGTTTTCTCGAAAAGGAAGCATTTTTTTCTCCATGGCTCGTGAATTAGGAGTTGCAAAGTGTTTGTCTTTCTCCTCCGATTCCATTGGCTCACGAATAACAGCAACCCAGAAACACGGGAGAGAGGAGATATGCCACCACCGACCGGCGATTTTATGGAGAGATTGGGTTTTACGTTTACTTACTTTTTATTTATTAAGTCTATGGACCTATTTAAGAAGGCCCATTTTAGCTACATTCATCATAAGCCCGTACGAATTTAGGCCCATCTTTGTAAAATAAAGTTCTTGTTAATATTTTTTAACTTAAATGCAAATGTATTTTATTCATTTCTGATAAGAAAAATTGCATTGACATTTTTTTATAACTTGAAGAGAGAATAATTGGACCGTTTTCTTTTCTTGATTAGATGATGAGGAAAAAGAAGGGAAATATGAGTGGTGTTTGTGTATAAGTCAAAGAGATAAATACAAAAATCAATTATAAGATACAGAAATCAATTAGAAGATAGATGATCCGGAAATTAAGCAATGTCGGGGCATGTATGATGTCATGAATACACACATTACAATTTACACCACATCTCCATCATTTCCTTGTACCATACGTCGTCTACACTCTTAATTACCGATTATATAAATACGGTGATTCTTCTTTTGACATGTGTTTGTTCCACACACATCTATAAACCAAAATGCAGTATTATTTAGTCTAGTAAAATATTTACTAATCAAGTGATCATTTCTTCATGTCACACGAATGCTATTAGCTGTTTTTTCTTCTACT